TCTTGAATCACAATTTAGGGAATACAAGAAACTATTCTAATAGCAGTATTCTTATTTATTTTATATAAAAATTCATTAACGATTATTTTTAATTATATATAGTAATATATTGAGACTTGGCATGCATATAATTGACATATAGAAAAATTGTGACAAAAAGGTCATTCTTGGCGCACATGAGCACGAACTTTCTTGGCAAGACACCGCATGCCTTGGAAATATATTTATATTTATATGGAGTGGAAACTAAAACAAATGCAAGTGGAGAAGAAACAACAAAAACATTTTTCTTTATATAGAAAGGTGATATATATATATATATATATACACATATACATATACATCATACATCATACATGTAGTCCGTGAGTTTTATTATGCTCTGTACTCTACTTAATTGAGCTGCAAGAAATTTCCAAATGAGAACAATTTTTGGAGAATATTTGCAAATAGGGATATATATATTAGTCACCGGCAAGCCCTATTAATCGAAATGGGGTCACAAAAACGTGTTTGTACAGTACAAGCATGCTTTAGAATAATAATCATACATATACGTACTTATCTAATTAGCTAATTTTGGATATGCGTGTTGAATATATCAACAAAATTAAAGGAAAAGAAGAGGAAAGAAAGCAGAAGGAAGCTAGCGAAGAAGTTGTTGAAACATGAAACTCATTATAAATTTGTATTCTTATTATGGAGCTAAGAGTCGGTATTAATATCTGAACTACCCAATATTCTACTACAACTTATTTCTATTAATAATGTGGACGACATCTTTGCATGATTAGAACAAAATTTTCATACGTGGCATGTTGTTATTGGCCTTGTATCTTCTGAGAAGATTCGTGCTCTCGGATAAGGGTACAGGAGACATGTTAATTCTTCTCTCTCCAGACCCCCTTCTCTTACCTCATCACATGATCGATCATATGGGTAATTTATTCTATATTAATTACTCTAATCCTCTCTACCTCCCCTTAATTCTCTCTCTATATTTATATCCATAAATATATTTTTGGTGTTCGATCTATAATTAGTCACTCTTGAAAATAGAGATTTCCGGCCATATTGTTCAATATAATAGAGCTAGTTTAATTAATTAATCTGATACTTACCAATGTCAACCTTTATTTAATTAACTACTCAAATAAAGTATAGTTTTTTTAAAGAAAAAGGAAAAAAGAAAAAAAGAAGCATAGTTTTTGATAGCTAAGAGCTGCTTAGTGCTGCAATAGTTAGTAGAAAGAAATCATTGGTCATTAGTACAGCTATTATAACATTTACTCTCTCAAAGTAAAGGAGTTCGAGCTCCATAACAGACATTTGTAAATCGTATTTGGACCGAAACATTAATTTAAGAGAAACCCAACATAAAGATCCCATGATCGGGAAAAACAAAAAATAAGAAGGATTAACGTGATTTGTCACATTAATTTCTGGTCAGACAAGTACTTACACACTCATGGACGGTTTTTGTTATTATTGAAAAAAATTAAGTTCACTATGAATTGAAGTGCAAAAAAGGTCAATTATATAGAGTTTTGCATTGAATCCTCAGCTTAGAAGTAAAGGTAGATTTATTGGGCATACATTCGGAATTTTTTTTTATTTATTTAATTTATTTTTTTTTTTTTTGGTAAGTTAAAAGGAGGCGAAACCAATAAGCTCTGTGGTGATGCACCTCGATTGTTAATTCTTCGCATTATTGTTTGCAAAGTTATTTTGTTGCTTCGATCGCCAACATTATATCACTAAAAGCTATTGATTCCACATCATAATAACATAAGAAAATAATTATGTAGGACAACAACCCTACCCTTTAGGATACAAAATGATGAGACACAAACACAAACAGTCTCTTTCACCTGCAGTCCATATTCACAGCAGAAAGTGATTCACATTGTCCTTTACTTAGAAGACGTAGACACAGTGAGCTGTTAACAATTAACATTTTCTTACGTTCAACCTCTAATAAATTATATATATACAGAATATATATGTGTCATGTTCTTGAAAACCCTCTTCTTCAAATATATACTCCAGTTGTCTGCTCTCATATATATAGCTAAATGTCCTGTCTCTTTCCTATATATATATATATATATGCAAGTCCAACTCAATCTCTGGGCATCTTCAGTGACTTTTAGTGCCTCTCAGTTGTAATCCACTTTAGAAAATAACAACTTTTAATTTAATGTGCTTTACCTCATTATATATACTGTATTTGTTTCTAGGGGTACCTAACACAGGCACTATCGATATATATATCAACAGTACTAAATATTGTAATTTATTTGGTTTTGGTATTTCCTGCACAAGCCAATGTAGTGTGAAAACTAAATGACCACTAAATAGTTCAAAGAAGTTTATGGAGAATGAAATATAAGATGAGAATTTACAAGGAAAAAATATAGAAGATGAGATCACAGAGGCTTCGAATGATTATATTCAGGAGGGGATTAGATACGTATTGCACTTGTAATACATATGATGGTTCACAACACTCATTCGTATGAATAATATGGAGTATTATTACACATCTAACGGTTCACAATTTCACTCGATTATTATTAAGCATTTGACAGTTCACAACGCTTACACATCTGAGTAATGTGGACTTGTGGACAACATTATATTCCAGAGAATTCAAACTCGGACACATTCAAAGTATATATATATATATTTAACTTGGGTATTATTACTTGCGTTTTGGGACTTGAACTTCTCACCTCTCTTTAAAAGATGACCATTAGACTAATGGTCCATTAATACTCGTGTTATTTTTATAAGTTTTTTATATATACACTGACGAATATGTACAACGTTCTAAATTTCTCACACCAAAAAGATACTGAACTTATTAAAGTATGTTGTAGTACTTTGGCTGTCATTTAACTAATTCAAAGTTTTCAACCAATGATTTGAGGTTTTTTTTTAGAGTTAAAGAGGGGAGTTCGAGAAAAAAAAATGTTACTTAAATTGACTCTAACCACTAACTCACACCATTCCAAATTAAGAATTAAAAAAAAAATGCATGACAAAGATAATATAATGGATCTTCGTATCTGTTAAAGACCACTGGATGATACTTGTCTGTCCCTTAGCCTTTGTGTTGCAAATCTGATCGTGTTGAGTTCATTGCACATGGATTTTTTTTTTTTTTTGGCTAAGGTGATGATCTTGATCTTGAGCCACACGTCGATGGAAAATAGCATATTTTTACTCATCATATATGTCTCTTATTGAATTTCTTTTTTCCCTCTTATGTTTTTTATTCTCTTAATTAGTGAGTTGAAATCCACACAAAGAACAGAATCTCGACACATATATTTTATATATATATTCCTATCTCTTACATTTAGGTGTATATACTATATAGTACTAATATTTCAACATTATAAAACCCGTATGTATTTCTATATATAAACATACATATAATCACAAGCTAAATAAAGTTAAAACATAATTTTGTATCAAATTTACGTACTCCTCTTGACACTCGATTACTGAGACCACAATCGAAAATGACCTTAACATAATGTATGTAAGGTGACAATGCTAGTGGTACAATAATATATAGTCCTTGAAACTATTCAGAACACTCGAAAATGACATTGGCTAGTGTGTATGTATGTGTCTGTACTAGTGGTACAATAATATCTAGTTTAACCCATGCAGTTGACCTTAAATTTTAAGCATATATGTAAATTAGAAGCTGAAAAATAAAAATCTTAACACTATTTTTTAAAAATAAAAAAAATAAGAAAAACATGTGTTTACCAATTATTATGCATACATGTGTGATTTGGAGGAGGTTCTACTTTTCGATAATTTGACGAGTACGACTTTAATGTTAATAATCATAAAACACACCCATGCTTGTATACATGCTTATATAGTTTATATATCAGAGGCATTCATTCACATAATAAAATAGAGCATTCCATTTTGAGCACATGCATCATAATGATCACCATTTAACAAGCCATTATTGCAACAGACCCATGATTGCATTGATCAAGAAAAGACTAAAAAAATGACAAATTATGATTAAATCATGAAGTGCCCATGATTATAATCGTTAGAAACTCAAAGGAAGTTATAAATTCTGTTGCTTGAAATTAGTGAAAGTGTGGGTCCATCAAATCTTCTCGGAGCTTCTATTTTGTCTTAACTTTGTTTGCAAATCAGAATCTTAATCTTGTGCAAATTGGTATCTTGGTCAGATCATTAGAGATTTAATTAACCACTCCTAAATCTCCTCAAATTATTTGCATGTAGTAACATGTATATTCTCTACAATTGTGATTTGGTTTTTCAAAGATTTTGTTTTAAAGGTTTGATCAGCATATATGGATTTGATTTGTCATAGGTTGGGGACGTGGTGACTAGTAATTAAGAGGGAGCTCTCTACCTCCACACAATTAACTATTATTATTATTATTATTATTATGAATGAACACTCTCTCTATATATATGTGTGTGTGTGTGTGTATATATATATATATATATATATTTGATGTGGCTAGACCTTTAAAGAGAAAACACCAACCCCATCAACCACCATATTTGATGTGGATCTTATGGGAGATTGAGGTACCATATAGAGATGGAGGTTTGAAAAGATGACAGAAGCCAACAGTTGTCACCAGTGATAAAACTATATTTGTAAAAGGTGAGGTTTGATCTTGCTTACTCTACACAATCAATCATTAGTTCCTTTTTTTTTTTTTTTTGTTTTGAAGATGCAAAGAGAGGACTTTATCAATATCTCCTCAGTCCTCACCAATATGTAAGCTCTTGAGGGGGCCCCCACCCCCCCATTTGTGCCTAATGCGTAGCGCCTACGTAGTGTAACCGATTGCGGGACGTAACACTAGGCTACCCTTCCTATATATAAAGGGACCTTTGACAAAGGTTTCATTCAACAGTTCCCTCTCAGCACTCTTCTCTCTCTAGCTTCTCCCCTCTCTCTCTCTCTCTCCATAATAGCTTAATAATTTCTTTAAAGAAATTAAAGGGTAGCTAGCTAGCTAGCTAGTTATGGCTATAGAGATTGAGCAACCTTCAGTAGGGTTATCAAAAGTTGCAGTGTCTGAAACTCATGGAGAGGACTCCCCATATTTTGCAGGATGGAAAGCATATGATGAAAACCCTTACCATGAATCCAACAACCCCTCTGGAGTCATACAGATGGGATTGGCAGAAAATCAAGTGAGTATTAATTTAGTTTTCACACTCTTTATATATATATACATGGATGATGGTGGTGTTATGCATATTGGACACATGTAGTCCCGTCTGTCTCACATGTACCGGACAATTATGGGGGAAAATTCTATATATTGCCCCCCTACTTGTTTGAATTTCAACTTTTGAAACAATGAAGTGACCTTATTTGCTATGAATTTGTTGGACAGGTTTCTTTTGATTTGCTGGAAGAGTACTTGGAAAAGCATTCAGAAGCTAACTTGGGCAATAAAATATCTAACTTCAGAGAGAATGCTTTGTTTCAAGATTATCATGGACTAGTATCTTTTAGAAAGGTATATATCATCTTGGTTACATATCACACTCATCATCATATATACTAATTAATTACATATTAAGATCGATTACATACCAATTAATACTTAATTAATGTTGCATATACAGGCAATGGCAAGTTTTATGGAACAAATAAGAGGGGGAAGAGCAAAATTCAACCCGGACAGAGTGGTTATAACAGCAGGCGCCACCGCTGCTAATGAGCTATTAACCTTCATCTTAGCAGATCCTGGCGATGCTTTACTAGTTCCAACTCCTTACTATCCAGGGTAAGATAAAAGAACTAGTTACAATTTATTCAAACAATTATCTTTAATTTAGAATTAATTTCACAATTTTGGAGTACTAATTTTGATGGGTACCATTTTATGTTTTTTTGCAGATTTGACAGAGATTTGAGGTGGAGGACAGGCGTAAAAATCGTGCCGGTGCACTGTGACAGTTCCAACAATTTTCAGATCACTCCACAAGCTTTAGAGGCTGCATATAAGAGTGCACAATCCATGAACATAAAAGTGAGAGGACTACTCATCACCAACCCATCAAACCCATTAGGCGCCACGATTCAACGCTCAATCCTGGAGCAAATTCTTGACTTCGCCACACGAAAAAACATCCATCTCGTGTCCGATGAAATCTACTCAGGATCTGTATTCTCCTCATCAGAATTTGTCAGCATTGCAGAAATTCTCCAATCTCGGAATTATAAAGATTCCGAACGTGTTCACATTGTTTATAGTCTCTCGAAAGACCTCGGCCTACCAGGGTTTAGAGTTGGCACAATATATTCATACAATGACAAGGTCGTGACGACAGCGAGAAGGATGTCTAGCTTCACCTTAATTTCGTCGCAAACACAGCAGCTCTTGGCTTCCATGTTATCTGATGAGGAGTTTACGGAGAATTATATTAGGACGAATCGAGAGAGGCTGAGGAAGAGGTACGATATGATCATTGATGGGTTGAGAAAAGCAGGGATAGAGTGTTTGAAAGGGAATGCAGGGTTGTTTTGTTGGATGAATTTGAGTCCATTTTTGGAGGAAGCAACAAGAGAGTGTGAATTGAGTCTTTGGAACTCAATTGTGCAACAAGTGAAGCTAAATATATCACCAGGCTCTTCTTGTCATTGTTCTGAGCCAGGTTGGTTCAGGGTGTGTTTTGCTAACATGAGTGAGCAGACACTCCAAGTTGCACTCAAGAGAATACATGATTTCATGGAACAGAGAAGAATGAATTGAAATATATATATATATATATAATTTTGTTCCTACATATATTGATTCTTTCTTTAAATGATGATAAAAACCCATTTCAAGAATTGGGTTTGTCTCAAAACACTGTAAACAAATTGAATTGCAATACGTTGTATAATTTTGTTATATTCTTTTGGCCTAGAAATTAATTAATTAGTTTTCTGAAAATGGTTTTTCCATTTAATTATGAAGACATGGAGACTGGAGTTTTGTGGATGTTCGTGCCAATTCACACCTGCGGTACAAGTAATCAAACGGTGCTCTGAATAAATCAGAGATTGAAATTTTTTTTGAAATTAAATGGAACTTTTTCAAAGCAGTTCCAAATTAATAGAAGCTTTTATTTCAGAGAGCAAATAAATGTGTCTGCAATTGCTTTTCATGTCCATTGTTCACATCACCATTCACTCAAAATAAATAATTTCATTAAGCACCAATTCGATATTCTCAAACACAATTTGTTTTTTAAAAAAATACTACTTCCGTCCTATAATAAGTGTCCATTTCAAAATTTTTGATTCACTATCATCTTTTATTTTTGAATAATTTGATATCATTTTTAGTCATATTTCTTTTATATACTTATATATTACCTATATATCGTATTAGAGGTCTATTTCGGTAATTGTGAGTCAATATTTTTGAATTGGACAACTAATATGGAACAAAGAAAGTAATACGAAATGACAAAATGAGTCTATAGATTTAAGGTTGAATTGTATTTTGTTTAAACCCTTTTTAATTAGAAATATCAGTTGTATATATAATTGGAAAACAACTAGTACAAGTTTTCTTTTGGATTAATTAAGTTTTTTAATTAAGCCTTTAACTCAGTCGCTATCTAATTCAAGCAAGAAATTTATTTAGTATTGAATTCATAATTAGCTTTAGCAACATGATCAGATTATTAAAGGTTCAAGTTGAATAGAAAATTGTACAATCCATTAAATAAATTGATCTGTCAGTAAAGTTGTGTGAACTCTGTTTGTGTGTGGGGGCAATACTCTAGTACCGTCTGATATGCGGAAGGCTCATTAAAGTCAAAAGTTTAAGTTGAATGAATGAATTTTTTTTCAAATTTGATTCGTCAATCTAAGCTTTGCTCCTTCGCATGCATCGAGGGGACCTTTTGTTTGGGTCAACCACCATGTCGATCTGTGTGTTCCACCAAATATTTGCATGTTTGCTCTACCAAACACCTAGCATATATCCATTTTAAACACACACACACGTGTATATATATATATATATATATATATATACATATGAATTAGCATCAAGGTGACCGACTTCAATAATTACTGGAACCTTGTCTGCAATCTTCCATTATATGTAATTTTTTTTACTTTACATGCAAAGTCATTAGCAAGTTGGACAAATTAAGAGCATCTGAGACGATTGTGTATATTTTTTTGTATAAATATAACGTGTCATAATGATTTACATAAAAATTTTAAATTATTTGTTTTTAGCTCAAACGTTTGTTTTATACTTCTTTCGTCCCAAAATTAGTATCGTCTTTGGTAACCGTGACTCACATTGTTGAAAGTTACGGTTACCAAAGGTGACATTAAATTTGGGACGGAGAGAGTACAAAAAGTATATCCCCTAATAACAACCTCACATAATTTTTACAAATTTACTTAGGATTGATTTAGTTAATGGAATGAGAAAGATAGAGGATAAAGAAAATATGTTGATGTGAATGTGTAAAAAGGTTGTGTAAAATACACAACAATTTTGCAGATTGATAATGTGGCAATATATCGTAACAGACTGTTGGAGATAAAAAAAAAAAAATTACACATCATACGTGGCTGTGTATATTTTACACAAAAGAGTTTTAACAGACCGTTGAAGATACTCTTATCCTTTAAAGATGATAAAATGAGGGGTTCAAGTTTTATGATAAGAATTTGCCATTTGTGAATGTGTGTGTAAGTATTATTTTTTTAAAAAAATAAAACATTTATAATAATTTACATGTGTTAGAAATTATTCTGACAAGTTCACGGTTAATTAACGAATTGAATTTACTTATGTTAGAGTATTTTTTGGTAATTGATCAAGGTCGTGCTGAGGCTTTTTTTTTTCCGATTAGAGATTTTGCCTCGATTAATCTACGGGTGCAGTGTAAAGTGATCACTTCACATGAATCGAGTAAAGTCCGAACTATGTCTGTGACCGTAATTCCTAATGAATTGATTGCACTAAAATGATTCAAACCTAAAATTTAATATTCACGAGGCACTAATTGTAATTAACATTGATTTTTCTTATTGTGGTATAAATTTTGCTACTTTTCATTATGTATAATCACACGTACACTTACAGTGAATGCGTGTGGGGTGGGGGTGGGGGTGGAGAGGGTGGGATGGGGGGTTTGAGTTTGAGTGGTGTAGGGGTCCAAACTCTGGTCCTCGAAGGGTGGTTTGGGGGGAGTTTGAATTTGAGTGGTGTGGGGGTCCAAACTCTTCTCCTCAAATAATCTGAGATATTAACATCAACTAAATAAATAAGAATCAACTAGTTTACTTAAGAGTAGACAAAAGTGGCCATACTTATGTCATGGGCCAATGGCCATACTTATGATTATTAAAGTGGCTTGATTAAGACGTACTTAATTAATTAAGATGTATTATGCTATCAGTAAGCATTTTTCTACAATTAAAGCTCTAAATGGTATACCAACTAACACCATTTTGGTTGACAAGACCTTCATTACATTAAAATATTAACCATCATATCATGAGCTAATACTAATCTATTTGCTCAAACAATTATAGCTAGAATTTTCATGATCTGAATAATTTAATCTGTCAAATATATAGTGGTTTTAATTATGTATCAACAGATTAGCGTCTACGAAGTATAGAATTCTGATACACCTTAATTTGATCATGATGATCATGATCATGATTGATAGGAAAAAATATAAACCTATTCTACCCTCGATAAGATTGATTAGATTTCATTATTAAAAATAACGAAATCAAATCTGACGTGGTTCAACAAGTAAGAATAATCCTACTATAATTAGATGAGGTCAAAAGGATTAAATCATATCCCGACAAATCTGGTAATAAATCTCCTATGATTTCGCACAAGCGGAAGATAAGGTCGATATCAACGGAATGATTTTAATTCCAATCGACAGCCATAAATAGGGCATCAAGCCATTAAAGAAGGTGCGACGTAAAAACTATTATGAATTCCTGCCTTCTTTTTAGACCTCCGTGACTAATTTGATCGTCGGAGAGCTCTTGGCAGGCACCACACCGGTGCCGTCAAGGTTCATCGATCTTCTCCTCTCAAGGTTCATCGATCTTCTCCTCTCTTCCTTACAGGAAAATGGTATCGTATCGGACTGCGCGAATTTCAGCCTCAACAATGATCATGATCATGATCATGAATTTTGAATATTGCATGCATTATTTACTGTATCTGATTGTCTTCATGAAGCAGAATCGTTTTTATAATATTAATTTGCTTATTCAAAGAGAATTGTCTGACTTGGAGCCTATCAAACTTTCAAGTAACCAAACTCCGAATTTACAATTTGTTTCACAAACCAATCTCTTATTTATTTTAAAGTTTTTCTTTCCCCCAAATTTATTTTGCTTAAGGACTTCAATTCTTTCCCAACTAAACCAATCTCTTAATTAAGTCTATTATTTAGTTTGCATTAATTTTTTTCTCCAAGTTTGCATTAATTGTACTAGCTAGTTTGAATAACAACAAATTGGATTGACTTTAATAACACTAATTAATTTATTTATTCAATCAAATTTCTCTAATTTTATGCTGGGTTCGAACAGAAGTGATATTTTGGAATGGAATTTAGGAAGGTTTTGTTCAAAGTTTTAATTGCTTTTTTTTTTTTATAATTTTAATTTCAAAACATTAATTTTATGCAACAGAACATAATAGTTTTATCTTCAACCCACAACAATGGATTCTATAAAATACCAAATTTATCTAATTTTTTAAATAAATAAAAAATTCCAACCACCACCATAGGAGAAAGTATTTAGATATCCGGGATATATAAAACACTCTGAGTGATAGAAAGAGATTAAGAATGAAATATCTTATTGATTAAAAAAAAAAAAAAAAAAACTTTATGATGGTCTGGCCTCACGTGCATGAGCGTGAAGGCAATTGTCGCTTCTCTGTAAAATGAAAGAGCTTAGTTGGACAAAATACAAATTCCAATTAGTCCAACTGGTCCACATTGAATCACAGCCGTTCAATCCGTCGTGGCTCACGAGGACCAATCATAGTTTGCCACATCATATTCCACAATATATTTTTTATACGTACACGCTGTTGACAACTAATTGTTTGGACTTTAGATTAAACAATTAATCTCTCATCATCTTTCCCAAGTCGACAAGTGAATGTTGCCTAGGCTTTTTACTCACTTGAGTTGCTGTGATCGTCGCTGCCAAGGGTAGACGGTTGATTACAATCGGGCGGCTTAATATAGTTTGAGGCAGTAAATAATATAAAATTAATTTTTAATATTTAATATATTAATTTTAAATAATAATTAATTATGTTTGTTTAATAATCACTTTTCTTGTTTTTTGAGATTTAAAGTTAGTAATTAAATTTTTTTTTTTTACATAGTAATTATTGTATGCAAGTTTTGTGTTTTTTTTTTTTCTTAATACTCCTTGTATATATAACCAATTCAATAGATATATATATTCAATAATTAATAGAGTATGTGTAAAAAACCGAGAGAGAGAGAGAGAAAATGAGGAGAGGGGAGGAGGAAAAAAATAAATTTTGGAAATAATATAAGAAAGTAAATAAAATGTTAGGGCCTCTCGCCTAAAATTTTTAAGAAAAGACTTCAACCACTCCTTATCACAGTTGGGCCTCTCAGGCTAAAATTTTTAAGTAAATTTTAGGGCATTTCTGCCTAAAATTTATTTTTATGAGAAAATAAATTTTTTTGGGCCATTTATTAATTGGGGCCTTAAGTAGCCAAAGACTTCAACCACCGACGAAAGTGAATCAAATAGTTTGCTTTATCAATTAATATATATATATACATATCATCAAGCAAGTTAACAAGCACTAAAAGTGAGACCAAAAGTGAATATTCAACCAAGTTTATGCGTGGTACACATTGATAGCGAAACTTTTAGTTGGAATTTAATATGCATTTTGACTTGTATGTTCTGTGTTTTCAACTTTTCATTGATAATATATGTGCTTTTAAAAAATATATGTGACAATACATGCCTGGCATAGACACACAAGAAATATGCTAAAAACAAAATAAATTGACACGTATATACTCGTTGTTTTCTACTATGTTTCTTCTTATACAAAATATGCACTTTAACAAACTTGAATTTTCAATCTTTTACTTAGATGGCAAAGAGGATATTGTCGAATTTACTATTGTTGCATTGTTGGGCTCTAATGGGTGCTACTATTAATATGTTTCGTTCATGACAATAAGTCCAGTTAACCCAAAACTTTCAGGGTTGGGCGTAATGGGCCAAACATCCACGAGGTCTTGGGCCTGAATTCTTTATTTGATGAGCTTGCCTAGATACTGGCATAGACTGTGAGATTCACACTTTCACAGTACGCCTTAGTATGGTGGTACTTGATCTTGATGGTAGATGCTCATCAGTTTCTCTCTCTATTCTTCGAATTTGTAAGCAAGGACACGCAGACTCTCGCCGTATCTCTGGAATCATCGGCAAACAGGTTACATTCGAAGCCACTTAACTTAATTTCACTTTTTGTTCTCTGATTTGCAATTACTTCACTTATTGTGTTTTTGGTTATATATTAACCAATTTTGCTCAGATCACGTGCTTTGATTCGTTAGTATGTGTATTTATTGTAGAATCACTATATCAATATGTACACGGGCGGTCTGCAATTTGGTACTTAGGGTTTGATTTTCTAAGTAAAATTCCTCTGATTGTTCCTCTTGAAGGGGTCACAAATACTTTCAAAATGTGAACTGAATAGTGCTATATTTATTGTTGTTTTAGCTGAATTGATGGTATCTGATTCGGTTTAGGAATCCTATGCCCTTTGCTTCATGTTATAAGAATTCAATCTTGTGACATTGAACTCTTACAGATTCCTGAAATAGGCCAATTTGCAACAAACACATAATCCATCAGATTTTCCCCTTTGAACATATTGAATTTCATCAAAGTTAATTCACATCAGAATTTCCCCTCTGAGCCATATTGAGTTCATCAAAGTTAATTCTTTCGTTTGGCTAGTGGGTTAGATTTTTAATAAATTAGTTAATGCTTTAGTTTTCTTATTGTTTCTAGGCTTAATTTGGGGATTTGATGGCATCGAAGTTGCAACAACTGCAATCCAAGGCATGGCAGGCTTCGCAGTTCGTGGCCAAGCATGGCACTGCATACTACAAGCAGTTGTTGGATCAGAACAAGCAGTACATTCAGAACCCACCCACTGTGGATACATGCAACCTCTTGTCTAAGCAGTTGTTCTACACTCGCCTTGCTAGGTTAATCTCTCTTTACTCTCGTTGTATTGGCCTATGAGTCTATTCTCTTACGTGGTCAGTAGTGGTGGGATTGGTTGTATCTGTTTGGCAGTTCGGGCTTTTCATGTTATAGTTCAGTAAAACCTGATGCATGAAGTTTGTGAAGCAACCATTTTTTGATCTGAACTAACTTGGAAAATGCCAGCTTTCCATATCTTTTTATCCAATAGGTCATGTAAACATAATAATCCTTTCAAAGTTACCTCTATATATATATATATTGGTAGGTAAGCAACACACATTTGTCACACACCACACTCCCCCATGTGGGGCCCAAACCGCTCACTGGCATTAGACTATATTTGTTACTTGTTAGCTCCTCGATAGATAGCCTCATTTTTTTTTTTTTTTATTATTGTTTTTTTAAGTTACGAACATATTATGTAGAAAGGTTTTGGTATAGAAAATCGGTCCACTAGCTACAACTGATGGCATATAATTAGTGTGTGAACTTTCATATGGAATCAAAAGGAAAAGGAAAGGGAAAAAAGATATCATAAGGAATCAGATGGAAAAAGGAAAAGATCAAGAAAACCCTAAAAACTTAAAACATCTGTCTTTTAACTTTCCTTGCGGGTTAAATTTTCTTTCTAGAGTGGTTTGGGTTCCTTACTGCAATGGGGATCGGAAAAGTAGTAATGCATTATCACCTGCGACTTCTGAATTATTGTGTTAAAGTTACAATCTGAAAATGACCTATGTGACCTTGCATTTCTGTTTATGGATGCATGTATTTGCTATTAACCATCTTATACCTTACAGTCTTCCTGTTCGTTACGAGGCATTCTGGAAGGAACTTGATTACGTCAAGCACATGTGGAGGAACAGGCAGGAGCTGAAGGCCGAGGAGGCTACCACTGCTGCTTTGTTTGGGCTGGAGTGCTTTGCATTGTTTTGTGTTGGCGAGATTGTGGGAAGGGGATTTACAATCACTGGATACCATGTGTGAAAACCACCCCTTGGGTAGAAGCGGTCGGCAGGATTGATATTTATAAGGGTTCTGTCATCATTAGGGTGGTCGGGAGCCACTGGTATTCTACATTTTACATTTTGTTTTTCCTGCAAAAAATTTGAAGCTGAGTAAGCGGTGGGTACATTTGTTGTGTTGTAATCTCACTCCAACTTAAATGGAGGGTGTGGGTTAGGTGATTTAACTTTGTTGATCTTTTTGTTGGAAACTGCTGCTACATGTGATGGTTGTTGTTTTACTCCAAGTTTTCCATGGTGTTCCTGCATTGATGCTTTACCTGCACGACTTTTGAGGAGCACTGTGTAAGAGTAATAAAACAATCAGATGGCTGATCTTAGGAATTACTTGCTACTGTTTCATGTTACCAAATTGAACAAATTTATGTAAATAACTAAAAAAAGGCTTGATAAAACAGTTACTTTAGTAAATAATCTGTTTGTGTGGTTCCAAGGTAGTAGTAATGGGCGCCATTGGCAAGAGCCTCTTACATATGGACTGCTGGTCTCATGTTATTGGGTAATTAGGGTATGTTTCGTTTGTAATTCCGGAAACGATTTTCTATTTTCTGCACAAAGAAATCTGCTTGTTGGATTGTTTGAAAATTATTTTTAAAAAACTCAGTTATAAAAATGTCTATTTTCTTTTAACTACTTAATAATAGTTTTTTTATTTTTTGAGTTTTTTAGAACACTTTTAGTGTTCGGTAATGAGACTAAGGCTGCAAATGATGCAGAGGAGAGTTGAGCTTTTAGCTCTTTCGAGTTTCACCTTGAGTTTGATTGTTAAGTTTAAGTTAAGTTTAAACTCAAGTAAAGTCATATTAGAGTATTTAACTTAACTTGAATCTCAAGTTCAGGCTTAACTTATCTATTAAGTTCAATCCATTTCGATTTCAATCTCGAGCTCATACTTGGGTTGAGTTCAAACCTGAAGTTTGAAATCAAAATTGTTAGTTAAAAAATTAATCATAAGTTTAAATAATCTTTTAATAAACGAGTTATAGTTACAAGTTTTATCATTTATCAAATGAATAAAAAAAAAAAATTTAAAATAATAGAACTTTCTTTAACAATAGCTCCTAATAGATATGGAATATGGATGACATGGATGTGAGTAATGACCAATGAGAGAGCATGAATCCCACCTAAACGCGTCATCCGAAATCCGAATGTTCTGGAAGGATATTATAGTAATTACTTTATTTTATTCTCTCTTTGGTGGACTCCTTGTAATTCAATCTCCTCCCCTGTCAAAAGCAAATAACGAAGAGAAGGGAAGGCGACGCAGAGAAAGGACAGGATTCTCCTCTCTGTTGTGTGAGTGTGAGTGGTACATACTATCAACGGAATAAATGCTGCGCGGCGGCGGCGTTCTCAGTCGGACAGGCGTCGCCACAACATACGCCGGCATCATTTTATGCCTCTTCCTCGTTGTCGAGATCGTCTACTGCAACAACAATTCTCAGGTTTCGTTCATACGTCTTTCTGTTATTTCTCTATTTATATATTTAGATCCAAGTTCTCTATAAATTTATGTGTATGAATACTAAATATTGTTGAATGAATGACAGGTCGGATGCAGCAAGACATGTGTTGCAGAGAATTGTAATTGTAAGCTCTCCTGTCTAATTTTTTATTTTAGTTACTGCAACCATGAAATTATTATTTTTTTTTTTAATGGATTTTAGCGGTTGGGATTCGATACGGGAAGTACTGCGGGGTAGGATGGAGTGGATGTCCCGGGGAAAAACCCTGCGATGATCTCGATGCTTGTTGCAAGATTCACGACGAATGCGTAGAGAAAAAAGGTAGTTTCTTTTTAATTTTTTAAAATTGTTTTTGGAGTTCATTTAAAGATTTGATCAATTTATTCAAATATGTTACAATACAAATTTCATGTTGTTTGAGGCATGCCTTTGAGGCGGGAGGGATTTGAGGTGTTATTGTTGAGAAATTGAAATTGGCATGTTTTTGGCTCTTTTAAGTTTCATTTGTTTTGCAATGAAACATTTACGGTATTTTCAACATTAAAATTCCTTAAAGAATATCAGAAAGTGAGCACTTTCTAAATAGACTTTTGAAACTCATATGTACAACAATGACCAACCAAGTAATTTTGAACTACTTGGGGTGGGCTACAAGGATCCTATTTTTCCATTCGAGGTCATCTTCCTTATTAACTCTATCCACGTTAACTTTAGTCTTCTCCTTCCCCTATAATTACCCTCAATGTCTTCTATGCACATGTCTAAACCATCTTAACCAATTTACTCGCATTTTATCTCCAATTGGTGCTATTTTAACCTTGTCATGAAGGTGTTCATTTCTAAATCTATCATTTGTAGGCTTGCCACACATCCATCTTATCATTCCCATCTCTGCCACACTCACTTTATGCATTTTTTTCTTCCTAAGTGGCCAACATCTTTTCCTGGTCTAATAGTTGTACTGTAGAACTTTACTTTCAATCGTAACGGGATACACCAATCACATGGTATAATAGATATACTTCTCTATTTAACCCATCTTGTCTTGATTCTATGGCTAACACCATCTCCAATTTTCTTTCATTAGCAAAAATGTTCACTTTTTTTTACCTCTTGATCCTCAGTCTTCACTGCCTCCTCATTTGTATTTCTAGGTTTACTAAAGTGAAACTCTGTATATTCAGTTTTATTTCTACTAATCTTGAACCCTTTCAATTCTAGAATTTCATTCCAAATCTCCAATTTGATATTGACTCCTTCTCTAGTCTAATCATTTAAAACAATATAGCAAATAACATACACCATAAACCTCATCTTTAATATTCAGTTAATTTATAACTAAAGCAAAATTATATGGGCTTAATGTTGACCTTAGATGTAAGCCCACGGTAATTGGAAATTTACTTGTTTTCCTTATGTTCGCTCGAACTATAGTTGCACGTTCATCAAACACATCTTTTATTGTGTCAATGTCTCTCTTTTCTACTCATTTCTTTTCTAAAACCGTCCATATTAGATCTCTAGGTTTTCTATCATAGGCTTTCTCTAAATAATAAAAACCTATATTTTTCCATTAGTCTCATTTATAAGTAAATAGTCTTCATCATTGACCTCCCTGACATGAATCCAAATTGATTTTCCGACACTTCAGTCTCCCATTTTAGTCGTTGTTCAATCACTCTCTTTCCAAGTTTCATAGTATGACTTCATAATTTAATATGTTAATGATTATTACAAATTTGTATACCCCATTTATTTTTATATGTAGGTATTAAAATACTTTTGCGCCACTCACATTCTCTTAGTTATAAAAGAAATGAGTAGAAAAGAGAGACATGCCTTTGAGGCGGGAGGGATTTGAGGTGTTATTGTTGAGAAATTGAAATTGGCATGTTTTTGGCTCTTTTAAGTTTCATTTGTTTTGCAATGAAACATTTACAGTATTTTCAACATTAAAATTCCTTAAAGAATATCAGAAAGTGAGCACTTTCTAAATAGACTTTTGAAACTCATATGTACAACAATGACCAACCAAGTAATTTTGAACTACTTGGGGTGGGCTACAAGGATCCTATTTTTCCATTCGAGGTCATCTTCCTTATTAACTCTATCCACGTTAACTTTAGTCTTCTCCTTCCCCTATAATTACCCTCAATGTCTTCTATGCACATGTCTAAACCATCTTAACCAATTTACTCGCATTTTATCTCCAATTGGTGCTATTTTAACCTTGTCATGAAGGTGTTCATTTCTAAATCTATCATTTGTAGGCTTGCCGCACATCCATCTTATCATTCCCATCTCTGCCACACTCACTTTATGCATTTTTTTCTTCCTAAGTGGCCAACATCTTTTCCTGGTCTAATAGTTGTACTGTAGAACTTTACTTTCAATCGTAACGGGATACACCAATCACATGGTATAATAGATATACTTCTCTATTTAACCCATCTTGTCTTGATTCTATGGCTAACACCATCTCCAATTTTCTTTCATTAGCAAAAATGTTCACTTTTTTTTACCTCTTGATCCTCAGTCTTCACTGCCTCCTCATTTGTATTTCTAGGTTTACTAAAGTGAAACTCTGTATATTCAGTTTTATTTCTACTAATCTTGAACCCTTTCAATTCTAGAATTTCATTCCAAATCTCCAATTTGATATTGACTCCTTCTCTAGTCTAATCATTTAAAACAATATAGCAAATAACATACACCATAAACCTCATCTTTAATATTCAGTTAATTTATAACTAAAGCAAAATTATATGGGCTTAATGTTGACCTTAGATGTAAGCCCACGGTAATTGGAAATTTACTTGTTTTCCTTATGTTCGCTCGAACTATAGTTGCACGTTCATCAAACACATCTTTTATTGTGTCAATGTCTCTCTTTTCTACTCATTTCTTTTCTAAAACCGTCCATATTAGATCTCTAGGTTTTCTATCATAGGCTTTCTCTAAATAATAAAAACCTATATTTTTCCATTAGTCTCATTTATAAGTAAATAGTCTTCATCATTGACCTCCCTGACATGAATCCAAATTGATTTTCCGACACTTCAGTCTCCCATTTTAGTCGTTGTTCAATCACTCTCTTTCCAAGTTTCATAGTATGACTTCATAATTTAATATGTTAATGATTATTACAAATTTGTATACCCCATTTATTTTTATATGTAGGTATTAAAATACTTTTGCGCCACTCACATTCTCTTAGTTATAAAAGAAATGAGTAGAAAAGAGAGACATGCCTTTGAGGCGGGAGGGATTTGAGGTGTTATTGTTGAGAAATTGAAATTGGCATGTTTTTGGCTCTTTTAAGTTTCATTTGTTTTGCAATGAAACATTTACAGTATTTTCAACATTAAAATTCCTTAAAGAATATCAGAAAGTGAGCACTTTCTAAATAGACTTTTGAAACTCATATGTACAACAATGACCAACCAAGTAATTTTGAACTACTTGGGGTGGGCTACAAGGATCCTATTTTTCCATTCGAGGTCATCTTCCTTATTAACTCTATCCACGTTAACTTTAGTCTTCTCCTTCCCCTATAATTACCCTCAATGTCTTCTATGCACATGTCTAAACCATCTTAACCAATTTACTCGCATTTTATCTCCAATTGGTGCTATTTTAACCTTGTCATGAAGGTGTTCATTTCTAAATCTATCATTTGTAGGCTTGCCGCACATCCATCTTATCATTCCCATCTCTGCCACACTCACTTTATGCATTTTTTTCTTCCTAAGTGGCCAACATCTTTTCCTGGTCTAATAGTTGTACTGTAGAACTTTACTTTCAATCGTAACGGGATACACCAATCACATGGTATAATAGATATACTTCTCTATTTAACCCATCTTGTCTTGATTCTATGGCTAACACCATCTCCAATTTTCTTTCATTAGCAAAAATGTTCACTTTTTTTTACCTCTTGATCCTCAGTCTTCACTGCCTCCTCATTTGTATTTCTAGGTTTACTAAAGTGAAACTCTGTATATTCAGTTTTATTTCTACTAATCTTGAACCCTTTCAATTCTAGAATTTCATTCCAAATCTCCAATTTGATATTGACTCCTTCTCTAGTCTAATCATTTAAAACAATATAGCAAATAACATACACCATAAACCTCATCTTTAATATTCAGTTAATTTATAACTAAAGCAAAATTATATGGGCTTAATGTTGACCTTAGATGTAAGCCCACGGTAATTGGAAATTTACTTGTTTTCCTTATGTTCGCTCGAACTATAGTTGCACGTTCATCAAACACATCTTTTATTGTGTCAATGTCTCTCTTTTCTACTCATTTCTTTTCTAAAACCGTCCATATTAGATCTCTAGGTTTTCTATCATAGGCTTTCTCTAAATAATAAAAACCTATATTTTTCCATTAGTCTCATTTATAAGTAAATAGTCTTCATCATTGACCTCCCTGACATGAATCCAAATTGATTTTCCGACACTTCAGTCTCCCATTTTAGTCGTTGTTCAATCACTCTCTCTCCAAGTTTCATAGTATGACTTCATAATTTAATATGTTAATGATTATTACAAATTTGTATACCCCATTTATTTTTATATGTAGGTATTAAAATACTTTTGCGCCACTCACATTCTCTTAGTTGTTAATATCTTTTTAAACAATTTTGTTAACCAAGACAAGCCATCCTTCCCCAAACACTTCCAAAGCTCAATACGAATGCCATCGGGTCCTATATCCCTTCTTGATTTTATTTTCCTTAATGCATTTTTAACTTCAAACTCCCTGACCCTATGGAAAAGTATGTTATCATTAAGGTTACTATAATATGTTATCATTAAGGTTACTATATTCTTTTAAGCCTGAACTAACTAAATGATTTTCATTTAACAATTCTCAAAATAATTTTTTCATCGTTCTTTAATTTCATACAACTTTTACTAATACCCTCAAATCTTCACTCTTGATGCATTTAATATAAACTAAAATCTATAGTCTTCCTCTACCTTAGTTTAGCAAGTGTATATATATTGTTCTCCTCATCTTTTATGCCTAGTTTAGAATAGAGAATCATATGCTCTATATTTTGCTTTGCTTACTACTTCTTTTTTTAAAAAAAAAAAACTTCCTTATTGACATTTTTGTATTTTTTAAAAGGTTTTCTATTTATAGTTTTTTGCCAAGCCTTATAGCATAATTGTTTTTAAGATCTTTGTACTTGTTAAATTCACCACCTAGTTTCTTTAGATAATGGTCTCTTTCCTTTTGATTCATCTAGGACATCTTTTGCTACTCTTTTAATAAAATAAATAATGCATACATATATATATATATATATATATATATATATATATATATATATATATATATATATATATATAATCGCAAATGCATGTATATGCACACAGACATACCAATTCATATACCTGCATGTATAGATGTACTTTATACACATTTCGCTATATACTCACTTGAACATGTGCCTGCACAGCAGCTTACATGTGTGGTATTGTAAAATTCTTGCTTATATAAGTGTTCATTGAGTTTTTTCTAAGAATTGATAATTTATGTTCAAAGTTTAAACCCGAAACAAGAGAATGGTTTTTTTTATGTAAAAACTTCTGCATGAAATATATTTACCGGTGTAAAAAAAATTAATAGAAACAAACGGATTGTTGGTTTTGTTGTTTCATGAAACTGAACAACAATTTTAACCCTGATTTTTTGTTGAAAGAAACTAGTGTTGAGTTAACTTGCTGATTTAGTAAACCATTCAGATTTAATGGTTTAACTTTTTTATTCAACTCTCTATGTTGGGCTCTGGTGCATTTTTATTGCTCATTATAGGACCATCTTCAGTTTGTGCTAAAGGTGTTGGGTGCTGATATTAATGAGTTGCATTTGCATTTATGCAATTAAGGCTCCATTTGTTTTGACATAAAAAAAATAAATAATAAATAAAAATTACTTGAAAAAATATTTTTAACTTAAAACTTTTTATATTAAAAAAAAAAAAAAAAATGAATTTATTCGCATTTTCCCGTGTTTGGCTGAAAAACTGAAAACATTTTCTAGAATAGATTTTTTTTTTTTTTTAATTATTTCTGGACAAAATATATTTTCACAAAAATTTCTATTAATACCTAAAATTATGAGTTTTTCGCATTAAAAAAAAGAGTCAATAAACATCTCAAGGTATTGTTAGCATGTCTTGTGATAGGTGTACATATAACAAATCTAACAATTAACACACATATATGTCCATATAATCTAACAATTAACACACATATATGTCCATATATTTATGAGTTTTCACAAAATATACAACTCAATCTCTCTAATACATACATGTACATATATATAACACACATATATGTACATGTAACTGATTATATATGGATATGTATAAGCATGACAATAGAGCTCTGGTAGATAAGATGGGGGTATACTTGCAGCTTGAAACAAATTGAAGATAGCTAGATCATAAAACCAACCTGTTTTTGAATCAAATCAATCCTATCACCAATCCAAATCTCAAGGTTTGCTATAAAGTAGAAGGAAAAAAAAAAAAAAAAAAAAAAAAAAAAAAAAAAAAAAAAAAAAAAAAACATGAACCCTTAACTTCTTAGCCCAAACTCAGAGAACATAGTCAGCCTCGAGAAATGTTCGTCGGGGGCAGAAAAATTTTGCAGGCGTTGGCTATAATCTCTATCTTAGGAAAATTGTCAAAGTGAAATGTCAAAACAACATTTGTCTCTTTTTAGTTGTTTGGAGCCTCAGTTATGTCGAGAGAATTGTAATTTAGAAGTTGAAAGATGGAAATTGAATCCATAAGTTGTTTTTGGCAATTTGGTGTAAAACATTTTTCTTATAAAATGTTTTGAAATTTTGAATGGTAAACAAACACCGAAAAATGATTAAATGTTTTCTGGAAAGTATTTTACGCTGGAACAAACGACCCTATATGAGGAAAGTATAAATTCATATGCCCAGTGTTGTTAAAGGCGCGCCTAGGCTCAAGAGGCAGGTCTAGCTCCTATTGTCATCCCAGGCTCACTGATGTTCACTAGGCATGCACCTCGGTTGCGCCTCGTCCTATTTGTTAGGCACACCTCACTGATTTTTTTAAAAATCTATGATTATTATATTTCTTAAGCCAAAAGGGATACTTTTGGCAACTTAATAAACAAATAAGAAAGCCCAAGTGTACAAGATAAGAAACTTTTGTTCAAAAGAATAAAAAATAAGAGTCAAAGTGTCAACCGAAGAGAGAGAAAGTGAGATCGTGAAACGAACGACGAAGCCACGTCAGTTCTTCCTTCTTCTTCTCTCTCTTCTCCTCTACTCCTCTCTTCTTATCTTTGTTTACATCTCTCTCTTTGTCTAGTTCTCTTCTCTATCTGTCTTTTTTTGGGGGGGCTCTGTTTTTTCTCCTTTTTTTCTTTAACACTTTCTCCCTCTTCTCGTCTACATTTCTCTCTCTCCGTCTTTATTTTTGGCTCTATTTTTTTCTTTTCTTTTCTTCTTAATAGTTTTTTTTTTGTTAACAGATTCTTTTTGTACTCTGTTTTGCCATTCAAAAAAACAATTCTGCTCTGCCTTTCAAGAAAACAAATTTGTGCTCTATTTTATGATTGTTGGATGCTTGTTTAGTCGATGGATTTTCTTTTTTATATTTGATATTAATTTTTAGAGTATTGATATGATTTATGAGATATGAATGTTTTTATAGTAGTTTAAATTTTTAATTGTGCGCCTCACTTCACTCAGGCACGCACCTCGCGCCTAGGCTCCAAAGGACCTCTAGCGCCTTGGGCCTTTAATAACACTACATATATTTCCCATGATTAATGTGAGCACCCCTTCACTCCAGCAGGCACAAAATAGGAATGCAATGTGCTCAATTGATAATTTGATATGCTGGTTTAAGAATTAGGATCTGACGTGGTGCTTCTGTGAACTATGCTGTCATTTGAACCTTTGTTGGGCTTTTAGATTTTATGCGCCATAATTAATTACTTAAATTTAAAATTTTCAGGTTTAATGAATGTGAAATGCCATGAGAAGTTCAAGAGGTGCATAAAAAAAGTGCAAAAATCTGGGAAGGACGGCTTTTCTAGGGATTGTCCGTACGAAACAGCTGTACCTACAATGGTACAGGGTATGGATATGGCCATCTTACTGAGCCAGTTGGGTAGCCCGAAGCTTGAACTCTGATTCTGTAAACCATACGCAGGTTGAAGAAGTATGGTTGCAATCATTCTTTTCATTCAACAATGTCAATCAAATATATAAAACTCAAGGCAATTTGTCCAGGTGTGCGGACTTTCTGATTGTTTAGCGTGTTAGTAAAGATTTTTCATTTTCATTTTCATTTTTCCCACACCCTCGAGGTTTTACTGTATCTTCACAATTTCCTAGCTTTGAATTCTTACAGCTGAGTACAGAAATTTGAATTCTTCTCCAATGAAACTTGATCATGAATAGTTTGTCTATTTTCTAAATGCTTTGGTTTTAAGATGGGCTTATTGCTATCAAATACTCCTGATAAGTAACTCTACCCTTTTCCTACTGGAAGAGGAGGCTGGCGTCAGGTAGACAGTAGAAGTTATGTCGGACGAATTAGTTCGTATGTAACGCCATTGATAAAAGGAAATACCATCTATGTTTGGTAGAGAGGAAAGAAGAGATGAAGAGAGAAAAGATAGAAAGATGGCAAGTTAAGGGGAGAGGGAAACGAACGCGGCACGCCCAGTTGAAAATTTGAACATTCTACCTACTAGCCCTCGGAATGAAAGGGGGGAGTTTTTATTTAGTTATCATGTGTGACTACGTAGTTCATTTGACGTTCTGGTTGGGCGATTAATTACCACTCCTTTGACACGAAAGTTCGCAGTAATAACAAAGTGAAAATGGCAATTACTCCACCGGTCAACAATTTCGCATGCGATGGGTCCATCCGCGTCATTGGTGGGTCCAGCTACTTCTATTACACGGATTTATACCTAATTATGGGACCACTATTAATTTCTTAACAGACTGGTGCATACCAGTTGATTGAGAAATTATTTATTTCTAAAATACTAAGATTCATCAAATTTTTAATTTTTTAATTGTTGATGTTGAAGTATACTAACTTTTTTTTTAATATAGTACAATTTTTTAAAAAAAGAAAATAGAGTTATAACTTATAAGTTCAATTTTTGAAAAATATTCACATTGATGCTGAATTTTTGAACTTCCAGTTATAACTTTTGCAAATTGAACAACGTAAATAACGTGGTTGAGATTAGTCTAATGAGAAATTTGATTTTTTTTCTTCAAATAATTTATTTTAGTAATTTATGGATTTTAGTATTTATCTAATTAAGCCATCTACTATTCCAATATTTTTTTTTTTTTTTTTTATCCATATCTTTCTTTGTTGAACTATAATAACACGAATTCAAAACGAATACTTGTGATAGAATATTTTGCATATATTGTGCATTTGTCATTAAACAATTAACATGTGTTCTAATAAAATGATGAACGTCATAATAAAATTTATAAATTTAATATAAAACAAATTGTTAAAAAAAATTTAGTTATAAAACTTTCTTTGAATATTCAAATATCATAATTTTGCTATAAATGCTGTCATTTGTTCAACATTAAAAATTTATTTATTTTCTAAAGAAATATAAGGAGAGGAGCGTAACTATGCGAACTGTTTACTATACATTTACTGTAAGTGCTTACTAAATTTAAAGCCGAACAATAATTACTACCCGTATATGTTTTATTTTGTTTTACTACAATAATATCAATATTGATCTCACTGCAATTTGCAATGGCCCTTATATATTTATTTGATTTTATTTTTAATTAAACAAGACATTGTTGGTCGAAATTTGGTTAAAAAGAAAAAGTCAGTCCTGTCATTTCCTGGGTCTTTCTATAACAAGATTTTGATTTTTTTTTTTTTTTTTTAATTGCTTTAATTTTCGGAAAAAAAAAAAAAAAAAAAAGATTTTGATTTTTCCTTTTCCTTTTCCTTTTCCTTTTCCTTTTAATTTATTTATATAAATACGGAAAAGAGAGGTCTTCGGTTAACGAATCAGAACCTCCCAAAACTTTAATCAAATCGTTTCTATCTTCTTTCTGATTCTTCCGTTCCTTCGTTTCAAAGTTCCCTAAATTGAATAATTTGATTGATTGCTCAGAAATTCATCTCTCTCCATCAACAAACAAAAACAGCAGATTTTCTGCATCAATTTTGGAGCCCATAATGCTACATAGGAGCTTCAAACCCGCCAAATGGTTAGTAATCTCAGTCAGTCAAAAAAAAAAAAATCATATATACATATTATGTGTGTGTTTGTATATGGATTTGGTTGATTGGAGTGTTTGATTCTGTGAATGAAACTTGAGGTTGTGGATGAGAATTTCTTGTTCTTTTGAAATTGATGATCTATGCAGCAAGACATCGTTAAAGCTTGCGTCGGCCCGAATAAAGCTATTGAAGAACAAGAAGGAAATACAATTGAAGCAGCTTAAGAAGGAAGTGGCTCAATTGCTCGAGTCAGGACAGGACCGGACTGCACGAATTCGGGTATGATATATATATGAGTATGTTTACACAGATCTGTATATAATTTTTTTTTTCCTTGTATGTATGTATGTATAAGAGTATGTTTACACAGATCTGTATATCGTTTTTTTTCCAATTTTTTTTTTTTAACTTTTTTATTAATTTCAGATGAGATATTTTCATAGTATGTACATGTGAAAATAGGTTTTTCTTTGCGTTCTTTCTGAAATTTATTCTTTATTGGCATAAAAATCTATTGCTTCTAATTAATTTGAGGTAATTATCTGAATAAAGGATGGTATGGGCTACCATAATAAACAATATGAGATTTAAGCAATAGCAGGAATTGGAAATGTTTATGAAGAAACAGCCTAAAGTACGAAACCCTACTGTATGGCAATGCTTTCACCATTCAAGATAATCTATTGAGTCATTTTGAAACGAATGAAATAAGCTGTTTACAAACACTACATATATATATATATATGCTGTTTACAAACACTACATATATATATATATATATATATATATATATATATATATATATATATATATTTCTGGTGATAATTGTAACCTAATTATTCAATGATCAAACCAGACGAATCTCTTATCTCAATCGGAGGAGAGTGGTGCAACTTTTGTAATTATTAGCACTGCTTTACAAATTTTAGATGATAGAATGCCTTATTTTGGGTTTCAGTATTTCAATGAACTTTATATTGCTTGTTGTAAGAGCCCCTTTGATCCTGAAGTAGTTGGCGAATGGTCATGTATAGTGAATTAAAAAATGCAGGTTGGAGACATCTAAGTGCACAAAACTGTTTGGAATAGTGTTAGTGCTAATTGAAAGTTTTTTTTTTTCCTCTCTCTCTCCATCTCCCTCCCAGAAAGCAAGGTACTTGTGTATTGAAGTGAATGAGAAAAGTGCATTAAGAGGTTGAGTTGTCACACCAATGTCCATAGTTAAGTAAAAATGAAATTAGCAGAAAAAGTTGTTCTGCAATAGCTAAGCTGGGGAGTAAACTTTTCGTGACTACTATAAAATTTACTAATTGAAAAGCATGCATGTTAACTAACAATGCACCTTATATGTTAAATATGCAGTTGTTGATGCAAGGAATTCAAAATTGTTTTTTCTTTTATCTTGGACGAAGGGGATATAGAGGCCCTCCATTTCTATGTTGGTTTGTTTTGGCACTTGAGGCAGGAGCATCAAGACAATTATAGCCTTTAAAAGTTGAAAAGCCTTTAAAAACGTGGTTGAAGATGATGCCCTTTTTTTTTTTTTTTTTCCTTCTAAAGTTTTTATTATTTTAATAATTTATGTTGGCACTTGGAAGTGATTTTATAGTTCGGCCAATGCGCAAAGTGCGTGTAGCCACTCCCCAACATATATATATATATATCTCACCCATACACAGATTGATATCTGTGGTCATTGTGACCATTGGATTTCATTTCTGAGTCTCAGCACAAAATTGTTAGCTAAATGAAACTCTTTTTTTTTTTCTTTCTTTCCAGGCATGTATCTTCTATATTAATCAGTGTAAATCAATATGGACGTCTTTCTGTGATTCTGTCACTGATCGAGATATATTCTAATTTATTTTTCTCTCTTTTGCATCTCAGGTTGAACATGTAGTCAGGGAAGAGAAAACAATAGCAGCATATGAACTTATTGAGATATATTGTGAACTTATTGTGGCACGCTTGACTATCATTGAGTCACAGAAGTATGTATAAATTTATACAATCTTGAATGATATCTTCAGTTTACAGTTTATAAATTTCAAGATTGGTTATTATTTTTACTGGTAATACTTTCATTATGCAAAAAGCCCAAAAGCATCTGGTACTTCATGCTTCTTCGTAACAGACAAAAGAATTACATTAAAAATCAAAATTATTTTTGTACTAAATGTAGTGAAGCTGAAAACTGGTTAATTAAAAATGATTTACACATTTCACTCTGAATCTGAAGCATATTATTCTCAATGTTTTCAGTAGAAATTGGATACCGTAATGAAACTTGTTAAAGGCAAAATGATTAAGGAAAGGAGCAACCTTATTATTGGAGTTGAATAGTGACTTAAATTTATAGCTTCGTACTCATCCAAAAGAGTTGTAATATTTGTGATTTGTATGTAATTACTGCAGTATTTTAACTCTCTTGTTATTTTACATCAACAGACTCTTTTAATTGTGAGAAAAGTTAGATATTGAGGAGAACATATCAATTGTGATCAAACTTGGAAGTTGAGGAGGACATTAGTTTTGGAGGATGTACAGTATATATTTGTGTGTGATAGGGGGTTGGTGAGATCGCTGAGATGGAGAGGTTGATTTTGGAAAATATTTGTCTTCACTCTAAACTAAATTAACACATGTACTTACCAAAAAATAAGTTAACAAATATTACTGTTGTATATCTCAGGATAAATTTGAAATTTCTACTCCACATGTCCTTACTCCCAACTCCTATGTTAAAAGGTTTATTTTACATTTTTGTACTTCGGTTTGATTTAATAATGTCATCATGCTGGAATTTCTATTTGAAAGATTGTTACAAGTCATTACAAGTTTGTAATGAGGTATACTTATCACAAGATTATTATGTTATACATATACCTATTGGGAGGTTTAATGTTACTTCTAGCTGAGAAATGAGGCATCTTTACCTGAAACATAGATCATTTTGTTACAAATTTGTAATTGCTGAAAGGATGGTGTAAGATTCGACTTTTTCAGAAGTGGTTTGTTCCAGCCGTATTGATAATAATAATAATAATTGTGGAAACAATTTGTTTTCAGATGCAGATAAATTTGAAATTTCTTCTGGAGCTTCGTAGTAAAAATTATTTACTCCCCCTAAGAAATTACGGAGTATTTCTTGTAGCAGTGTGTGTGGTGGTTTTTTTTTTTTTTTTTGGAGGGGGAGGGGGATCATGGCAAATAATTTCCACAATGCCTTTTGGTATGTTCGTTTCCATATGACACTGAAAATTTTTAAGTTATCCAATAGTAGGATACTTTTTTCTCATCTCATGGTTTCACAGCCAGACCTAGCCTCTTTGAAACTAGCCTTATTTTAAAATAAATGAATAAATAAATTATGATGCACTTAGACATCTTATATTTTTCCAGGAACTGCCCCATTGACCTGAAGGAGGCAATTGCAAGTGTAATTTTTGCGTCTCCAAGGTGTGCAGACATTCCAGAACTTCTGGATATCTCCAAGAATTTTACCGCAAAATATGGAAAAGAGTTCAAATCTGCAGCGGTTGAGCTGCGTCCAAATTGTGGTGTAAGCCGCATGGTGAGTATCTACAGCTTGTCTTTCTCTCTTTGATTATCAAAATTGCCCTGTGAAGGAATTTTCATTTAGACTTTGTGAAAGTTCAACAACATAACATTTTATTCCCCCCCGAATCAACAACATAACATTCTTGATCATACTTTTTATGATGTCTTGTTTCAGTTGATAGAGAAGTTATCTGCTACAGCACCTGATGGGCAGACTAAACTTAGAATCTTGAGCGCAATTGCAGAGGAACATAACATCAAATGGGATCCTAATTCAGTTGGTGAGGGAGATTCAAAGCCTCCTGATGATTTGCTGGTAAGATTTGACCATTTTCAGATGGTTCATTAATTCATTTAGTGCTTTTACTATTTCATCATGATAAAGCATAGGTGAGATCAACTGAAGAAGCTTACATACCTTGATTGGTGTTGCATTTCTAAAAATTTAATGAGTTGATCCAATTGAGCAGAATGGACCAAATTCTCTCGAGATGGCCAGTAAGTTGCATGTGGAACCTCCTAATGTCCAAGGTCCAAAAGACCAAGCTCTACCTAGTCATGACCAAAAGCATGATCCACCTGTAAACTCGGAGCAGAACTTGAAATCTTCGCCGACTGGCCAAAATTTTGCGTCAGCAGATCTTGGTGGCACTAAAACAACATCCACAACTTCTCGCCCTGAAGTGAGACCTTCAGGTACAGTATTCAGTCTTCAATTATAGAACTTACTATTATATGCCCCTTTATTTTAAATGTCCATCTTTTATTAATAATATGCATTGTTCTGTCCAACAGGAATAGGAGCTGAGAGGATGGAAGTCGAGCAATCATTTTCTAGAGATAGGAATGAATTTTCATTTGGTGTTCAAAATTGGAATATGGAATTTAAAGATGCAACCTCTGCAGCACAGGCTGCTGCCGAATCTGCAGAACGAGCAAGCATGGCTGCTAGAGCTGCAGCAGAACTTTCTAGCCTTGGCAAGATTTCAAGGCAGTATTCCACAGAATCACAGAAGTTAAATGTTCATGGTATAAAAGACAAAGGGCCTGGAAATTATGATGCTTTAAAGTTGCCAGGTGAACATCTTGCTAACAACTCAGTGAATAACTCCTTTAATGACAGAAATCCTGAGATCCACAATGAACAAATATATGGGATTGAGCATGATTACCTGGTGAGAAATTCTGAGGGGTTTTACCAGGATGGTCATGATGGTACTAAGAGGTCTAGTCAATCAGCTTCTTCGAGGCCGCGCAGGACTTCAATTGATGATGACGCACCGAATAGACTAGAAAAGGTAGATAGATATTCTCAAAGGGGCTCATCAGAAGACGAGTCTGTAAAAGCGAATGAGCATGTCATCAAAATGAAAATGAAGAAGCAGGAGTCTGAGGAAGAATTTGTGAGTGACCTACAAGATGGCTTGAAATCCGAGAACTTCAATTATTTTGGAGAAGAAACGATCACAAAACAATCCAGCAACATCTCCTCTCATTATCATTCTAGCACTCTTGGTGATGATTATGATGATACAAACTCTAACCACCAGAACTTGGGAAATGATGCTGTTCGCCCTTTTATGGCAGTTGATGAAGGAAACATTACTAGGGACAGTAGAGAAACAAGCTCATATGATAATGCTGCTGTATTTTTTGATGAATCTGGATCAGATGATGATGAATATAAGTTTGATATAGGGCCCAAGTATGATGAACAGGATTCCAAGTATTTCCTATCACCAGGTAGAAAATCACTTGCCCCTCTCTCACCAACTGCAGATTCTTGGAGCTTCAGAGAAGACACGAGTGGATCATTGGAGAAGTCCACTTCACATTTGCATTCTTCCAAGGAATGGCCCCCTTCTCCAATTTTTTCAGAAAGCTTTACTGAATCTGCAGAGCCTTCAAAACCAAATAACTTGTCACCTGTAACTTTTGATGATTCAGATAATCCGAATTCAGAAAGTGAAGATGAGCTGGACAAGTCTAGGCGTAGTGGGACAATGGATTCAAGTATATGTCCCCGGAAACAGAATGTTCACAGCAGTAACCATGAGCCAACACAAAGAGCAAGACATAGGGTAACAGGATCTTCATCTGTGAAGGAAGGAAATTCAAGATCTGACAGAAATCCGCGGCTAGACTCCTCTTCTGATGACTCAGATTCTCTGGAAGTACTGCCAAAGAACAACCGAGATACAGAATTAAATGCTGACTTCCAGAGAAGGTTGAGTTCAACTGAGCTTCCCGTCAATCAGCAGTCTACCAGACTCGGAAAACCCCAAGTGGAGTCGAATAATTTGGGCAGTGAATCATCTTTCCATGGTCTAGTGGATGAAGGAAACTGTGAGCAGGCCCTGCAATCTTCAAAGCTTCCATCGGTCCATGAAATTAGGGACAATGTTTGCACACCTGATGATACCTTGAAAGACGATGAATTTCTAAACCAAGCAAGTTCAGAAAGTGGAAAGGAGTTGAACTTTGGAACATTGACAGGTGGCCTTCGAAATAAGGGCTATAGGCTTCCGCCCATTCCTAAAAGTCCATCTGGTGATGCCTCATCTTCATCCACAAAGGTAGCCGAGGATAGATCTAGCACCATTGAGCATTCCGCTGGTTCCTCCCCAATCAGGGGTTCTATTAGTTCTGGAGTGAGCAAAAAGGTTAGTAACAAAACAAGCCCAAGAGCCCCTATCAAACATTACAATTCAGATTCTGACGATTCCAAGGATGAATTTTCTGATGATTCCAAGGATGAATTCCTACAACAGACTCGAAGAAGTGAGAGACGTGAGAGAAGCGAGAGAGAACCGCACCGTCAGAAACAAGGGAAAGAAGTAAATACAGGATCAATCTTAAGAGCTTCAGGTACATATTTTGATTCTGATTCCGAGGAGGATCTCCAAAAACAGACAACTCTTCCCAGTAGAGGTCATTCAGGAAGTGGATTTTCTCGTCGGACAAAAGCTTCTCCAAGTTCCAGAACAAGTTCTTATTCGAAGGTCAGAATTGGAACTGAGGCATCAGTTAATGCTGATTCTGGTGCAGAAAGGAAACCATCCAGGATTTTCTATGGTACCGAAACCCAGCCTAGACATGCGGGTGGTTTTGAGCAGTCAAGCTCTATGAATCTACCAGCATCTAAGCAAATGCCAGAACCTAGGATCCCATCACACGAAGAAAGTTCGGAATCATCTAGAGTGGAACAACCGTCCAGCGTTCCTCAAAAGACAAAAACATCTGATGGCATTGAATCTCCAAAGATGTCAGCTTCAAGTGGGGAGACAGCAGATGAAGAGAACACTGTCAAGAAAGCCAGTCATGTTCATCCTAAGCTTCCTGATTATGACCTAATAGCTGCCAGATTACAGTCTCTTCGATCAAACCAACAATGAACTTCGCATGACTTTATCATTGTGGTATGCCTTTATATACTGCATTATAATAATTGGGTTCTAGATTTGAGTGGACAAATTTGATGGATAAAAAATTATTGTATCATAATATGCTCTTCATATCGAGTCAAAATACAGTCCTACTTTTTTTTTCTTTCGACCATGTAAATTTGGAAGTACAATTGTTTGAGACATACCTATAACCAGTTTATGTGAATAGTACGGATGTTGGATTTGTATCATCACGTTTACTACTCTTAGCACCGATGATTCATTTCGCATAATACAGGCATTTGTAATTCATAATTGTACTCAGTTTTCATTCAAAAAATAAAAAATAAAATGAAATTTGTTTTGCAACTTCTTTCTGGTAGACTGAATAACTACCTGTTACCCACGGACATACATGATGATTATGAAACTTTTCAGACTGTTTTAGAAAAAGTGAGGCGGGTGTATCAAATGGTTTGTCAGGTTCCTGATGACACGCACACACAAAACAAATAATCTCATTAGAGGAATCCAAATGCACAGATTTCTTATTCCAAGAAAATTGATATGTCGGAAGACGTCAATGCTGACCTAATAATAATATGTCTCCCCAAAAATGCCTTGGCTACCTAAACTAGAGCTACCTCACAATGATATGGGGCAAGCATTGGATTTTTCCTAAGCATTTGTAGCTGTATCCAAATTCCCCATACCTCCAAGGGTATGTGGAGGGTTGTGGATACATCCTTTTGGGCTGTGGAAAAGTCCCTAGTTAAGAATAAATTTTAAATCGCTTCAGGGCTACATAAAGGTTAATTGACAAATATAAACTGCATCTTCCCAAAATTTGTATTAGGACTTGGTCTTGGCAGATTTCTTTCCCCTCGCGGCAAAAGATTCTGCAACTAGCAGAGGGAAGGCGATAGTTGCATCACAGTGTACCTAGTTGGAACCAGAAAAAGGAAGAAACACAATTAGAATCATGCTTCTACGTAACAACCAAAACAGTGACCAATACAACATGTCCATGCAATTATATAAAAGAAATCTATAAAGTCTACTATATAAGAAAGTTCAAGGTTGCCGGCCAATAAAAAGATGGATTAAAAAAAAAAAACGTTAAACCTTAACGGTCTTGGCAGAACCTCGGATTTTTCCCCACGATACAGCTTCATCAGGACGGGCACCAGAATCACTCCCATCATACTCCTGAGCCGTGTTGATGAAGACACCATAATCTGCTCCATTACGCATCATATTTGCATTGCAAATGTGATGCTTGGGCAGCCCCCCACCTAGAATTATCATCCCTGTCTTCCTGGGATTTGCATGGACGGCTTCACCATTCATGGCCCTAATATCTGTTCATATGACTAAGAATTGAAGATTCCTCATAAGCTATAATATGTCGCATGAAATTACAGTGAAGGGGAAAGTATTACCTTGCACTATATCAACGATCAAACCAGGGTTGCGGAAAGAATGGAAGTATAACATGTCCCCCAGTGAGCCATCTGTCAAGCCAGGACAGAAGACTGGAATATTGTTCTGCAAAGAAATGAATATTGCAACTGAGGTGTAATTAGAAATTACACAATCAGGTTATCAAGCCAACATAGGCACTTATATTGAGATAACACGCCAAACTTGACAGCATACATATGTTCCTATCATCCAATGCCTTGAAGAAATGAAGACAAATGTTTACTTTTTATATGCCAAGAGCTTGGCTTATTGGATAGGTTATGCTTGCATGCCAGCATGGCCATAAGATTCATTCTTAAATTCTGATTACCAACTGTTATGCAAGTTTCTTTTGTAATACTGTAACAAAGAGCTCAGTTAAATAATCATTTGTCACAATTTTACAGCATCCAAAAATATTCACAAACCAGATTTTGATCTATAATTTCCCACAAACTTGTTTCAGCACTTGGATGCACAGCACGAGGACAGGAAGGAAAAAAAAGGCTGGTTCTCAAAGCAACTACCCTGAGAGGTCGATATGCTACAGACACAAACACAATACAACATAGAGATAGTGGCACGTTGAATCGTAAAACGGTAGGACATGGGCATGGTGTGGACATGGCTATACGGAAATATATATATATATATATATATCAAGTAAGACTTTTATATAGCTTTTAAGTAATGTTCAATTTCTATACTAAGAGTTATATAATCTAGAAGATGGAGTTATGGGAATATTGTAATGATTATTATATTATGTACCATGGCACTACTTTATAATTAAAAACATGTCTTTTTGTCCTATATCAAAAAAGTATCATTGTATGCTAGACTTATAATCATGCGCATAATGTCAATTTTACTTTTCAAAAAAAATATATGTTCATATTTCCAACATCACCAGGCATGGCTACCTTAGATGTGTTTGTGTTATATAAGATTTGTGTTGAAGATTGTCCCAAAAATGTCAGCCGAGTGTCAGGAGAACATCAACAAGTGTCAGAGATAGTTAAATTTGTATACAAATTGGCTACATGTCCATAAAGAGTCGGACACGTGTCAAGAAATACATGCAAAGTGTCGGCGTCCTGCACATGAACGACACGAATACGGCTCCTCATATAAGTGTTTGTACTTCTTTGAAATTTCATATACAAGTGTTTGTATTTCTTAGACAATATGTATTTAGGATGTAGGAAGCAGCGCAAGTGCATGCAAAGGTACCTTTTATTTTAAGATTAATATAACATGTGGACCAATGCAAATCACCAAAAATATTTACATTACAAATGTTTAAATAAATAATAAATAATAATAATAAAAGAGAGAGGGAGAGAAGAAGATACAGAAGTAATATGATGAGAGTTTAAAAATCTTAAGCTTGCATCTAGAAAAATCAAGATACAATTGAATGGACACCCACCTTGTATGCCCAGTAAAGGTATGAACTCTCGTTATTTATTTCTTTCCCCAATTGAGCAATTAATTTAGATGGCGTCCATAATACATTCTGTGAAACAAAAAGGAAAAGGTTAGAACTGAAGTACATTATGTTCTAGCAGAGCATTGCAGGATTAAAAAAAAATAACTGAACAAACTATACAAAAAAGGAGCGGTCTAGTAAAAGAGAGAGAGGGTGAGAGATTAAAAATAAATAAAAAATCTAAAAGATAAAATGTTGTGTTTTTTTTTTGCAGTGGGTGGAGCATTCTATAAAATATCTACCAACCAATAAGCATGATGTATAAGGTATTATTCCTCACTAGTATGCAGATCCCGGAGAAACTCATTATGTACCAATCACCATTCTCTTTCTTTCATTACGTGGAGGCATGATGTTCGTATCTCTAACCAACATAATGCGATAGAGTTGCATTTTATACAGATCTAAACTACACTTCCATGCTTGAAACTCTTAATAGTCAAAGGCTTACATGGATCCAGAAAAATTCAGGTCTCAAGATCCAACCATAACTAAATTTGAGCAGAAAAATGCCAAAGCCACGCAACCAAGAAGCTAACAAGGTGAGAAAATGTTAAAATTAAAGTTTCCATAAAAAATAATAAATGTTTAGAAAGTTCTGAACTAGTTGTCTGTAGTATGCACCGAATCAAGGTAGAAAGGAATACCTTTACAGTCTGCTCTTCCAACATCTGGTCAAAAATTGGAATGATCCAGTCCTCAAATTTGCAATAGTTGTCATTGGGAACCAACAAGTTACCAATGCGGTTCAATCCTTTTGACCGTAAATGAGCTCCAGGCAGAGTAAAATCACCTTTATATGTGGGCGCAAGACATTTTATAAGATCTTCTTCTACACCACCAGCTGTTGTAACCACCACATCAACCTGCAGTCAGAATGCAATAATTTCAACATCTTGAGCATGGGAGTTAAAACTCAAGGCAAGAAAAAATTCCAGCTCTGAACAGCTCAAATTTCTCAATAACTTACGAGTCAAGTCAAGACGACCAATACATTTGGGGATACAGAATATACATTCATAAAGTTAACATTTGTATTAGATAATGTCAAAATAATAAAAGGGCCGTCACTGAAACTGTTCATTGAATTGATTGATAAAGATGTAAAATTACATAGTATGCCCGGATAGTTCACAACTATGCAAATATTTAAGGTGGGTATCACAGAACACTGAAAATGGTTCATCAATAATGCAGTTAGAACTTAGATCCCACTCAGGTATGTAACTGAATCCAACACCAAATTCTGTTCTTCTTCCTTTCCGAAGGACCACAATTTGAACATAATACATGGAACTAAAACTAGTTTAAAGTTCATTTGTTTTACGACATCATGGCTTGTTCTAATTTGTTTCAGCAACTTTGCTTTATCTGCTTTAAAATAAATAAATAAAAATGACTAAAGTTCCATGCAATTGATAGTAAAATCACGATTCAGAAACATATTTGAATATATCAAAACAAAACACTATCACATCACTCACTTACCATGTGATGTTGAACAAGATAGCGAATCGTGTCTCGAACACCAGACGATATGAGATTGGAAGTAAAACCCAGAAAAACCTTGCACTTCACGGACTCTCTAAATGCCGGGTCTCTCTCCTCCTCGCTACAATCTTCCGTCACACACTCACCAGCAAGGCTCCAGTCTAACTTCAAAAATTAGACAAATAAATTCAGGAAGAAAAAAAAAAAAAGTAAAAAAAAGAAACCCAATTTGGGGGATTTTCTTAGAATTGAAACTAACCATTTGATTAACGATGTCAATGGCCTCTCCGAGTTTGGAGGCTTGAAAACCAGTAGAGACCATGGACTTGAGAAGTTCAGAATAGTTCACCCCTCGGTTGAAATCATAGCCCTCGATCTTAAGACAAAAGCCTTCCAGAGTCTCTGATTCTTTGAAAACCACCGAGCGTACGCTCTCTAGAAGATGTTTTTCCATTGCTTCAATTACTTCTTTAGCTGTTCTGCGAATGTAAAGTGATTTGGTGATGTAAAGTGGTGCTTCTTGTTTTTTTCTTTCTCGTCATTTCCCAGCCACCAAACGGGAACTGATGCGCCGTTTGATTCCCGAGAAAGTGTAAGAAAAATAGGAAAGGAAGAGATAAACTAACCTGGGTTCGGAGCGCAATACCGAAATTGGGGCCTCAATTTTATTGATTTGATGCTCTCTGCTACACTGGAATTTTTTCCTTTATAACTTTACTTTTTCTACATAAAGTGACTAAATAGCCCTTTTGGGTTAGGGATGTCAATTTTTACCATCCCGCCGGAACTCCGCCCCGTTAATAAAAGATATGGAAACACTTTTTATACCGTTGGGGCGGGCATGGATACAAATTTTGTACTCGTCGCGGGTCACGGGGCGGGTAAGGATTCAGTGTACATATCCTAGGAGCCCCGTCCCGCCCTGTTAAGCATATAACTATATATATATATATATATATATATATATATAAACTTGGTATTAAATTTGCTTTTGTTTTGGTTATGGTGAAAGTTGGAGTTTAGAACTTCTTATGATTTGATTGTATTAAACTTTTATTTTTGTTTATTATGTTCTCTGAATTATGTTATGTGCATGTTATTTTTTATATTTTTGTTGGCATACATAATTTCATTTATGTTGTGCCATTCCCAGGCTCTCCAAAAACGTGGGAGAAAAAAATTTGTTAGCGGGGCAGGCATGGGGGCACAGTATTTCCCAACGGGGCGGGACTGAACATGAAAATCCAACCCGTCGAGGGTCTCGGGGCGGGCATGGACTTGACAAAAAATAAAAGGAGTGAGGCGAGATTTAGGAAAACCCGCTTCAAACCCGCCCCGTAGCCATCTCTATTCTAGGTCATAGTTTGTTTAGCCGGTTAAACACCTCTATCTGAGTAACTATTCGGTGAATTTAGGGCATGCACTAGACTAATACGTGCACAATAAATACCAACTCATGTACATCACAGATGGTTCAAATTAACCAAAGCATGATGGTCTCAGCACATTGAATATTTCTTCCTCCCCACACTGGATCTATGTCAGAAGACCATGTCGGCCAGCTCATATTCTACAATGGGTTTTGGGCCAAATTTTCTTGTTTGAAATATGGAAATTTTTTGATATGTGTGTAGACTATAAAGATAAATAAGAGACAGAAGAGTCCAACTCCCAAAAAAATATATAATAGTATATTATATGTAAGGCCTGTAACTTGGGCGGGTTAACCAAGCCCAATCCAAAATTTTTGAAATGACTTACATTCACAAATCGAGTTCATATTTGAGTTGAATTTTGTCAAAACCAGACATATTCGAGTTAGGCTCGAGCTCAACCCAAACCCAACCCAAAACCCAAAATAATAAATAATAATTTTTTTTTTCTTATTTTCTTCTTTCTCCTTTTCTCTCTCTCTCCCTGCCACCGTCCTCCCTGCCACCGTCCATGCACTTCTCGGCAATCCTAAAATGAACAGCGAAGCTTGAGAGTTGAGAGGGGGACATGCTTGAGAGTTGAGAAACAACGGCTGAAGCTTGCGAACGGCGAACCCGAACTGGAACAGCGGGCGATGGAAACTGAAAGAAATGGGTTTTGATTTTTATTTGAATCTTTAAAAACAAAAGAGTTGGACAATCAACAAAGTAATAGGTTTTGATTTTTATTTTTTGAACAATTTGAAATGATATGATTTTACTTTGAGCCAGAGTGTACCCAAAAAAAGAAATGGGTTTTGATTTTTTGAACAATCTGAAATGATATGCCGATATGGGTTTTGATATCGGTAATAGTTTTTGAACTTTTGATTCTTGCAGGTAGATAGATTAACTGAAATATATGGGTTTTGAACTTCTGATTCTTGTAGATTTTGTAGTTTGCAGTTGGAGAGAGAGAGAGAGAGAGGGGGGGGGGGGGGGGGGGGGGGCAAGTTCAGAGTTGAGAACGAGAATAGAGATTAGGGAGGCTGAAATGATATGCCCTAAAAATATATATATTTTTAATAATAATATAATCAAATATATATAATATATATATATATATATTTCCAAAAAAAAAAAAAATTTAAAAAAAAAAAAACACTCAACCCATCAACCCGACCTAACCCGCCAAAAAAATTGGGTCCGAGCTATGACCACAACTCATGTTAAGTATAATTCGGATTAGTCCAACCCAACCCAAATTGAGTGTGTAGATCGTTATCCCCTTCGAAGATCTTGGTAAAGGATGGAACTGCTGTAAATGCTTATCGTCAAGAGGTAGTTGATGTCTATGTAGAGGATGGGGTAATGTATATTATTTATTCATTGCCTGATAGGTTCCGGTTTTTGGAATTGATTTTAAAATGAGTGATAAAACTCCCCAAAAGGAGCTAATTAGTTCACAACTTTTGCACTATTAGCATTTTGTATAACCCGTAAATAATAATTATTGTTCCAAGTTATATTACAGGAGTTTTGTGATATTGTCCCAAGAATTTGATGTGCTGTGCAAATTGTACCATTCCAAAGCACTGGAATACGCTTTCTTGTATAAAATGGCAGATGCGGATAAGATTTGGTTTTGATATTCTTCCAAATTTGTGGTGATTTTGAATGAATGGGCTGGTAGTCCAGTTTATATGTAAGGAGACAGATAATCAGAAGAAAACAATGCCCAATATGTTTTATTCCAAGTTACTACTAGAAGAATTAGTCTTGAGAAAAGTCAAAATTTCAGCTTTTCATAATTATCACCATGATTGCAGTCAGGAACATGGCTCATAAATAAACATATAAATACATAAATCCCTCATGTTATTTTGGTTAGACACTCTAAAATGTTCATTGACACTTGCACTTCAGAGTATAATTCAATGCAAATATAGCCTGAATTTTCAATAGGGGGATGGAGATTTCTGCAAAATCATAGAATTTGCAACCTATAAGTTCTGCAGTTCAAGTTGACATGGAGAATATTTTTTTCTTTTTTTTTTAAAAAAAAAGAAAAAAAAAAGAGAAGCATACATATATATATGCTCTTTTTTTTCCACATATGTCGTAGGTATAACAGAGCTGATTTCACATGTATCTTTTGTACCTTAAAATGCACTGTAATATAATAGCATAATTAGTATTTAAAAAATTAAAATACATTAAATTATGAATAATGATGCCTGTTTTATATTTTGTGAAACACTCTTACAGTATATCAATGATTACATTTAAAATCATAATATTTTTAATGATTACGGTATATGAATGATGATAAAAATATAAATTTTTAACTGCCATACTGGTATCCAAATCGTCGTATCTGTGCACGAAGAGAAACAATATGTTTAGCCTAATTTGCATATAAAATAGCTGCACATTTGTTTATATTTAAAGTTTTCATCAAGTTGCCATTTGCAACGTCAAATAGAAACAAACCCCGTCTTTGTCACACCCTCAATCATCATACATTTGCTCATACCCACTCTCTGATTTGTGCATCTTGCATTAAAGTGCAAAACTCAAAGACAATTCTCACAGATATAAAAAGAGAAAAAGAAAGTGATTCCGAAATCTTACCCGCCTTGTGAAACACACTGTACTCCATATCTAAAAGATTGAGGGAGATTTCTTTTACCGCCATCCATATCAGGATATGATCATTGCCAAAATTAATTTAGATACATGATTTACTAGAATCTTATAATAATTGCGGGGGAAAAAAATTTAAAAATATGTAAATAACATGAAACATAATACTTAAACAAAAATTATAATGACGGTATAAATCAGCAATGAAAAGACGAATTTGTCAAAATTTGCTATTAGGAGGATGACAATGTAACATAGTAAAGCTCCAATTTTGCTTGTTGTCTGCAAATTAAAGGGGTTTCAGAATTCGTGGAACTTCACGAAACCTTGTTTGCCTATTTTTGGTTTGCTACTTGAGTGCATATTTGTACATTGCAACTTATATCATCAACTACAAGCAGTAATGTCGCAAAGACAAATCTTGATTACCAGATCCAAAAGTGCACATTCCCTTGGGAAGAACAAATTATAAAGCGCACATTTGAAAGAAAAAAAAAAAATGTTATCTTGCCATTTCTATCTTAAAACCTAATAGTTTCAAGCATACATACTTTACATGATAACTTAAAGCTCCATATATATTATTTGGATGTTTACTTAAGTTGCCTAAATCTTGTGAACACTATAACCTGCGTCCTCTGACGTCAAATTCTCCCTCCAGTTCTCAAATTCAGATCCACCAAACACCACTTGCTTAATTCCAACATAGCTGTTAAGTAAAAATCAAAAGATGCTCAATTTATGTGCAAAATAATACATAAATTAAGGAAGGGCATCCCCCTCTCTAGTGGGCAAAATGAAAATGAAAATGAAATGAAATATTTTCAAATGAAAAATAGATATAAAAGCTTACTCGGAGCTTATCTGTGTCAATCCGTTTATCAAAATGTCCAACAGCAAAGGCTCACTGGTTCCAATATCCACCCTGTCAAAAATTTAGTCATACTTGTAAGCAAGAACAATTATTTCTTCCATCTATAAGAAAACTAGCCTGAGATCATAAAATAGGATTCCTACCATAAGCGTGCTAAGTTGTCTTGAACCTCAAGATCCCCAATATTATAAAATGTGGTTGGTGTAACATTTGCTCCCTGAATAGCATCATAACTTGGTCTTTTATCCATAGGAGATTGTGACAGCTGAAAAAAATCAGAATTTAAGTGTTTCAGCCACGAAGAATACATAGCACCACAACAAACCTGGGGTATTCATACCAACAAGACTTTCTTCTACAGAAATTCAGAACAGCAAACCAAATATATTAAAGAACCAGTTTGTGATCCAAGCAATAAAAATTGCAATTGATCACTATATATTATTCTTTGGACAATGCCTTAAAAAAAAATGTATTAAAAAAATAAAGGATAAAAGCAATTTACTTGCATATTCAAGGAATTGCATCCACCAAGACGTCCAACAATGTGCCATGACCGAATTGTCTGCATATAAGCTAAGATCAACTGGGATCACTGAGGTTCGTTTGAGAATAAATAACTACTACGGTGGAAGAGGAATTACTTACATCACAAATGAGGGAAACATCTTTCTCCAATGGAGCATTGTAGAATTCAAACCATATATACGAGTTTGAGACATCAAATCTGGTAATACCAACAGTACTTATGAGATGATCCATTTAAAAAAAAAGGAAATTGAAATAACCAAGCAACTAGAAAAAGAAAAAAAAAAAAACCACTAGATGCAAAGAGGAAGATAGCTTTGATTAAGCAACAAATGTCATGTAAATGACAGATGCATCCATCTGAAACTGGATTCATAAAGCCATACATAACCAACACCAAAATTATGGGATAAAAAAGGTGAAAGAGTAACTAATGGCCAAAATTAAGGATGGGATCCATAATGGAAAAAATACTCAACTCAAAAATTAGCCTTGCCTCAACTATCTCTATTTAGTAAAGAACATTATTTTTTTTATATTTATAAGTACTATTTAGTAAACACCCCCCCCCCCCCCCCCCCCCCCCCCAAAAAAAAAAAAAAATGTAATGGTACATTTTTTGTGATGTTTTAAGGACTCTACTGTGATGTGCTAGGGATCTACATTTTCGGCTGGAAACATCAGCTTCATCAAAATTCAAGCAACTGGACTTGTACTTGAATTCTTTTGTAGTAGATTTGTTAATCATATTTAAAATGTCCTATAATGAAATAATCTCATGAACCAACAATATGATACGTAATATTGTACTAAACCTAGTGCTTATCCAAAAATAAATAATAAAAATTGTATATGAATAACATAGTTTAAGGACAGCTATTACCTACAAAAAGTATTAAAGGAAACTGTCAACTTAGTCTGGATCGCAGTTGAACTGGCATATGATGAATTGATAAATCTGTTAATACTCCTCAATACTACATATGCTATATAGCAAAGTACATTTAGAACCTTTTAGGCCTGATCCTAACTTGGGTATGATCAGAGTTTTAAAATTGAAATTCTCAGGTTGTACAGTCACATCTGCAAGATATACACATTCACACTTCATGGGCATATCTAAGAGAAGAATGGAACATTGGATAAAACTCTCAGGTCTTTAAAAGACTTGTAAGGAAGTTTGATGCTCACTATGTAACTCAGGCCCCTTCAGTGTTGCAAGTGCATTATTAAAATTGTGGATGCAGCAACCACCCACGAATTATTGAACTAGCATTATATGTCATTTGAACAAACTAAAGCATTGCTCACTATTTAATGCCTTGCAAGTACGGAATTCTGAGGACTGAGTCAGAATAAATTCATTCAACTACATCTGTTTTAAGGTTCAGGAGTGGAAAGATGTCCTTCAAGAATTTTCACACCCTTGAGGAAATTTATGACAGCACAAAAGTTTTAAGAACCATGTTCTGTGTTAAGCAAAAGATAGCTAACAAACAGGACGAGCTAAGTAGCCACATCTCTTGCCAGAAAACACTAATTCAGCACTTGATTTGATTGGCTTGATCTTTATTCAACTGCTAGCTAGATGGTTTTATTGATCAGATGACATTTGAGACAATCTGACCATACAATTGACATTTGACAGTAATCCAACATAATTAAATCGGCGGACTATATCTTGTAATTGAATTTCTTGGCTCAAAGGCCACAAAATCCTGAGCATGCATCAATAATGGTGTAAGTAAACTAAAAGAAAGTATTTTTTTATAACTTGAAACCATATAGGGATTTTTTCACAAGCATTGGTAGTGTGTAAAAGACAACTTATTTCTATTGCCTCTTTTCAATATCTGTATCCATTTCTTTCCTTATTTCCCGTGCATTATCAGAAAGCACATGGACTCGAAATGTAATCACAAGAATTGTGAGCTATAATTCTTTATGAATGGAAGTTGGTTTTCTTGATTCAACATGGTGAAATGTGGCATAGCCAAAGAGATTTCTAAGCTTACATACAGATTCACAATCACATGAAGAAGTGTTGTTTGAGCATGAAATGCATGCATTTATATGTGTATATATACAATTCAAAATTCAAATTATCAACTTACTTGTTGAATGCCACTTTCATGGGTATAGCCGAACCAGTTTTTGTGTGTAGAATTTTGTTCCTTTTCTTCCTCAATCTCTCCTCCATCTGAGAAAGTAAGACCCGTCAAGTTAACAGAAAATACATATTGGGTGTATGAATTAAAATGTACATTGCGTTTATATAGACACATATATGTACATGTATGTATATATAACCTCGAAAATCTCTCTCTTTGATGAAACAATTTCTGGGAATTCCAAACAAACTCGAAAATTGAAACATATGAAACACCCATGACAATCAATCACTTTAGAGCATAAAAAATACAAAGAAAACCCTAGAATCTACAAAAGATTATCAAATAGTGTAGCTTACTTTGGACTGCGCTCTCTGCGGGTCATCGAGACAACTCCCGAGAATGTCAGCGAATTCAGGGTCTCTATCATAGTCCTTCTCCTCTCCTCTGCCTCTAAATCGTCTATGAGACGGTAATTCGTCCTCTTCCTCATCATTATTAGCACCATCAGTATCCTCATCGTCTTCTTCCAATTCCGTTTCTAGATTTTGGGTTTTGATTCTTTGGCTTCGGCTTGCTTTGGGAGTAGCGTACAGACATGTCTTGGATCGAGCACGGGTTTGAACCGAAAGCACAACGGTTGGAAATAGCGGGTAGGGGTTGTTGGATTGGAGAGAAAATGTGGAGTGTGAATGGTTGGGCAATTGAAATGGAGGTGAAGAGAGTTGTAGGATAGTCATATTCTTTTCAGTGTAGTTTGAGGGTTTGGGTAGGGTTTTCTATTTACGTGATAACACACACATATATATATATATATATTTTAACCATATGGGTTATTCCATTTGTTATCTAAGAATTACTTTGATATTTTAATGTGGTGCTTTGCAATATAGAAGTGAGGTCATATTTTATAAATATGATAATTAAGTATTAATATTATATGGTAATAGTTGAATTTTATTTTATTTTGTTTGATTTTTCACGTTTATTTATTTTGTTAATTGATATTCACACACATATTTGAGACTTAAATTACTTTTTAGTGTTAATTGATAAATAAAGTACTCAATCATTTTTTAAATAAATTAAAAGAAAAACACCTAAATAGTACATATATTTTATTTGACATTTTTGCATAATAATTTATTTATTAAAAAATATTTGTTGGCACGACAAACTAGAGCCAAATCTTATCACAAATTCTTAGTAGACAGTAGGGTAATACCACACAATCTCGTTTTTTCCCCTTAAATAGTTGTAAATATTAGTATTAGAATAAGCATGATTGTAGTAAATATATATATATATATATATATATATATATATATATATATATATATAATATAGTGATTAAGTTAAATAATTATTGAAAAATAACTGTAATCACAGTAAAATATTAGTGACCAATGATGTCAGATAATTAGATTATATATATAATTTTTACTTTGAAATCCATTAATTTTTAATTGATTTTATCAACTATGCAGTGAGTTTATAGCTCGCATCATTCTCAATACTCTACAAAAAGGAAAATAATACTAATAACAATAAATAGAGATAAAAAAATTAAAAAAAAACCAATAACAATAAATAAGGTAAATATCAACAGTTAACCAATTTCGACTCGACGCGTACCAGAAGAAGTTGCTGGGCTGGGCCTGAGTCCCGTATTTTTAACAAAGTACGACCATTGGTATTTTTCGCCATACGCATCTAAATGACCAAACTCGCCCTGAAATTTTAATCAATCAAACAACAAACCTCGTGGCAATTTATGACTGAAGGTTTCTTCCCAGTGGCATAGATATTGCAGCAGATTTCATTTACCAGAAAAGCGAAAGAGGGGGAAATAATTAACCCATAAAAAGATTTCTTCTTCTTCTTCCCGTCATACGCATTGTAGAGAGAGAAATCAGCGTGTGTTTTTAGAGAGAGAAACATGGATTTGATACCGTCGGAGCCTTCGCAGATCATGAAGAAACATGGTTTCCGGTCGCTGAAACTAGTGAATGTCAACATGGAAGACGTTCTTGACGAAAAGCCATTCGGAGTCGAATACGGTAGGCTCGGCAATGGACTCCGTTACTACGTCCGATCCAATTCGAAGCCCAAGATGAGAGCTGCACTAGCACTCGCTGTCAAAGTTGGGTTAGTGTTTTCTAAAAAACCCTAATTGATTTACCATTACTGTACTTCTTTTTTTATGTGATATTTGCGTTTTGATTTTAATTGCTGTTTGTTTGTTTTTATAGAGATTAATTTTGTGCTTGTTTATGACTGTATTGGATTTGGTTGATTGTATTGAATTTGCTTGGTGCATTGGGAACTTGAAAGCATTGCACAAATTGGGTTAGGCTAACAACAATAAATAATTGACAGCTGCCCATGGAAATTAAGGTTGATACTATTAAATAAATAAATAAATAAAAACTGTACTTTAAACTGATTAAGCTTAACACTTCATAAATAGTTTTATCTGGAATTTGATTTAAAGGTAAATTTCTTCTGGCTAAGCAATAAAGTGATCAAGTCCATTCATTGTTCCCGCTGGAATTGTTTATTGTTTATTGTTAATCCTTTGTACATATTATACTTATCTACTGTTAAACAAGTTGAGCTATTGAATTCATGGCAGCTCAGTTTTGGAAGAGGAAAATGAGCGTGGTGTTGCTCACATAGTTGAGCATCTTGCTTTCAGTGCCACGACAAAATACACAAATCACGATATCATTAAATTTCTTGAAAGTATTGGGGCAGAATTTGGTGCTTGTCAAAATGCACTCACATCTGCTGATGAAACTGTATATGAGTTATTTGTTCCTGTTGACAAGCCTGAATTGTTATCTCAGGCCATTTCAGTCTTGGCAGAATTTAGCTCAGAGGTATTGACAAATTCCTTATTGTACATTTTTCTTGTTTCCTTTTGATATTTTTCACGTTAGTGAACTGTTTCATGCAGGTGCGAGTCTCAATAGATGACTTGGAGAAAGAAAGAGGAGCTGTTATGGAAGAGTACAGAGGAAACAGGAATGCAAATGGAAGAATGCAGGATGCTCATTGGGTTCTGATGATGGAAGGTTCGAAGGTAACGTTTTCTATTCAACCTATCTGTCCATTTTATTATTTCATTTTTTATTTTGCAATGTGAGGCTCTTTATGCGGACATCGTACTACATAGATTGAAAGCTGGTAAACTTTTCTCTTTCAAACTAATTTGATGAGAGAATCTCTCGTATTATGAACATAGAGTATTTTTTTTTTTTTTGATAAGTATTATGAACATAGAGTTTTTATCATATTCATATGATGCCTTCCTTTTGTTCTAGTGAAATGATATTTATTAGCATCTTTTGAACCTTACTTACAACGGCATAAGTATTCGTTTCAACCTTCTAAGTATCAATGCCCTCACACATAGAATAGGCTGCGCATTATGTGACTTCTTTTGTTGTCGTGGTTTTTGGATTCTTTTTAGATGGAGTGCAATGATTTTTGTCTCTTTTTGTGATTTAGTATGATTGGGATGTCATTTTATTTATGAGCTCATGAAAAATTCATTAGTCTTGCTGTATTATTGAGGATCCTTGAGCTAGTTCAGATGCAGCTTGGTTTGGTTGATGATTCAAGTCCTCAAACCAGATGCAACTTGTTTTGGTTGATGAATTGACTCTATCTTTGAGGAAAAAAATCAAATTTTAAGCCCTTTATTTGTTCGTTGCAGTATGCTGAGCGCTTACCAATTGGATTAGAGAAGGTAATTCGGACGGTTTCTCCTGAGATTGTGAAGCAATTTTATAGGAAGTGGTACGATTTACACAATATGGCTTTGATTGCTGTTGGAGATTTTTCTGATACACAGGTCTGGATTTGTTAATATATAATGTTCGTTCTATACAAAGAAGTTTTTCATGTGGTCAGGCTTTCTTAACGATCTCTCTCTCTCAGCATGTAGTTGAGTTGATAAGGACTCATTTTGGGGGGAAAGTTTCAGCACCTGAGCCTCCACTCATACCAAAGTTTATTGTTCCACCTCATGAAGAACCTCGTTTTTCATGTTTTGTTGAATCTGAAGCTGCTGGGGTTAGTAACCTTGGATCTGTAATCTAGATTTGCTTATTTATGCATTTTTCTGATAGATGAAATACAAGTGTATCAAATTGTCACATATAAATATTAGTTGTAACCTGGTAATCTTGAATTGGATTTGCAACAGTCTGCAGTGATGATCAGCTGTAAGCTGCCTGTGGATGAGCTAAAGACTGTGAAACACTACAGGGATTTACTTGCAGAGTCAATGTTCTTTCATGCTATAAACCAGAGGTTCTTTAAAATATCTCGTAGAAAGGATCCTCCATACTTTTCATGCTCTGCAGCTGCAGATGTCCTAGTTCGTCCAATTAAGGCCTATATAATGACTTCGTCTTGTAAGGAGAAAGGGACTATTGAGGCCTTAGAATCAATGCTCATTGAGGTGTGCATTTAATCCTCATGTTAGGGCCTGCTTACTCTTTTTTATTTAATTTTCTAATAACCTACATTTCAGGTTGCAAGGGTTCGGCTACATGGTTTTTCTGAACGTGAAATTTCAGTTGTTCGGGCTCTGTTAATGTCCGAGATTGAATCTGCCTATTTGGAGCGTGATCAAATGCAATCTACCAGCTTACGAGATGAATATTTACAAGTATATCCTAATTGTTGCTTTCTATTATTTTTTTAAAAAGTTGCAGTTATTAGGTCTGGCAGAATTTTACAACTTCGTCTTATATTTCCCAGCATTTTCTCCGCGATGAACCTGTTGTCGGGATTGAGTACGAGGCACAACTTCAGAAAACTATTCTACCCCGTGAGTATTATTTAGAGCGACTTTAATAACTGATTTTTTTTTTTTTTTTTCGTTTTTTTATCTTTGTAATGTACTGAAAACCAAAATAGGTTAATTTGCTTTCATAACCTTTTTTCATTTATGCATAGATATATCAGCATCTGAGGTATCCAAGTACTCAAAGAACTTCCGAACATTATGTAGCTGTGTCATTAAGACAATTGAGCCTCGAGCTACTGCAACAGTAGATGATCTTAGAATGGTGCTGTTGAAGATCAATTCTCTTGAGGATGAAAGATGCATATCTCCTTGGGATGATGAACACATCCCAGAAGAAATTGTTAGTACAAAGCCAAATCCAGGGTAAATTCCGCTCTTCTATGAGCTTTAGTAAGTACCTACAATATGTTTTGAAAAAAATAAAAACTTGAAACTATGGAATTTCTGCTGCAACTCCTTCCATATAGACCCACACCTTTTCTGCTTTCTAGTCCATTAAAAATTATTAAAGGCGATGTGTGTATTTAATATTTATAGAATTTGGCCTTGTGTATAATCAAATATGTTCGGTTGTTTTGTTTCCAACCCTGCTTAAGACATGTACCTGGGCATCCGGTTTTGGAGTACGACTTCACAATGAAATAGAATAATCACTCATTTGAGCTATAACATTTAATTCTACCAGGACATGAATGTCAAACTCTTGCTTCTGAATTATGCAGTTGGTTTCTTTAGATTGTTTATCTACTAAAAAAATAGATTGTTTTCTTTCGCGTTATATGATAATGAGTTTTGGTTCAGTAACTGTAGCATATTGAGAGCAGTTGTTTTTTAATTCTTACAGGATCTAGAGATCATATAAAATGCATTTGATAATGTATGGTTGTAGAACCGATCCCATCATATGGGATGGGATAAAGGCAAATATGACAACAATGAATGTATGGCTGTAGAAGTGTTTAAAACTTATGAAGTAAATTCATAATTCACAAAAAAGATAGTTAGAGTCTTGGTGGTTGCCATGCTTATTCTAGCTTTTGTCGCATGGGTTCAATTCTTGCAACTACAAAGTGCTTATACTTTTAAAGAAAAGGGGATAAACTTGGCATTCCCCCTAGAATTGGCAATGATCTGCTTTCACGAATTCGAATCCTGTGAAATATTTTCTAGGCCTCTTTTCCGACACCACATCCTCCCCCCCTCCTTGTAAGAAAAAAAGAAAACTACTCTCTTCCCAAATTTAGCAGATCACAAGGAGCCATATGTTTCCAATTAGGATATTTTTTGGACCTTTAAGCTGTTCAGTTGCCTATATTTTGTTCTACAATAATTGAAGTTCTCATGGCATCCAATTTTTATCTATATACCTTAGAAGCTTGCTATGATTCTCATTTTTTTTCCTATTTCTAATTTAGGGTAAACTACGCTAACCACCCTTGAGGTTTGGGATAATATCACATGGGTACCAAGATAAGCCAAAATTACTCCGCCACCCCTGTCAGAGTTAAACACCAAACAGACATTAACTTTAGGCTGAATTGTCATTTTTTCCCTTGGTTGATTTAACATCACTTTAAGAAAAAATTCTTACAATGTAAAAAAACTAAATTGTCTCCATAGAAAGATCAAAGCATTTCTCTCTCCTCCCCTTCATGGCATTAAACTCTCTTTCTCTCTGCATTCTGTCCTCTCACCACCTCTATGTACCGCCACAACCACCTCCTTCCATTGCCTCAAGCTCCTCATTTTTCTCACCTCACCACATCAGCTCCTTAGCTCCCTCTCCTATCCACCTCCACTCTCTGTCACCACCGCGACCCACCAACTCCTCTTCTGATTTTCAACATCCAAGTTGTTGCCACCCAAACCTAACTAACGCCTACAACCAGCTCTGGGCTCCCATTTATGTCCCCACCCACCACTGCGCCAAGGACAGCATAGCCCAAGACATGCTAAACCACAGGGTAGGATTTAGCGAAAACCCTGCGATTGGACCTTTCATCTTCAATGAACAGTGCAATACCTTTCACAAATAGAGGTATGTTGCAAACCCGTCAGCCTCTCTCTCAAATCTATAAGAATTGGATCAGATAATAATTGGACTGCAGACCATATAAAACTAAGGGCACATACATATCTATACACACACATGTATATATGTACACACATAGACACACCTCTCGTTGAATAAAAAGATATGAATTGCTGATGCTTTCAAAATTTTAGGGTACATCTAAATCTGTGTGTGTGTGTATAGATATAACACGTTTCTTTACATGCATACATATATATTCACATAAACATACACATATATCAGTTTTGGGTTCTATCTGCAACTCAATAATTTAGTAATCTTTCACATTGGATAACATCTCTCATCAAGTGCCTATCTTTCTCACTTTTTGACGACCAACGTGATTCATCTCTGGTTGGATTGACATGTGAATTGCTCAAATCAAATACTCATGTATGTATATATATGTGTGTGTTTTGTGATTTGAGGAGATTTTTTTTTTTTTTTGCCTGGAAATTAAAACAAATGGACACACCAATAAGACACCACTCGTGGGGCTCAAACTCTCAACCTCCCCTTTGGGGAGGAGATATCAAACCATCCAGGCTAGTGGCCTGGTGGTATTTGAGAAGATGACTTTGTTAGCATCTTTATCATATGTATTACATTTTTTCCCTTGTAATTTTAGGCATTGTCTTAAATTTGTATCAAATTGTAACAATCACCGCAATTGTGAATTATTTGAAATTACCCTGATGTAATTTAGTTTCACATTTAGGTGAAAATATGTGAAATATTGCCTAGGAAAAAGAAAGTGAAATATTATAGAATTTTATTCACATTAATGAATTGTTCACATATGGTCTCTGCATCCATTCCGATGCATATAAATTATGTGTAGGGTAGTTCTGTCCACTAACAAATATTATAAAGGGGCAAGATGTCACTTTGAATCACGTTTTAAGGCTAGCAACTAGCAAGGTCATTTTGCCTAGTCGAAGGGCAAATTTGTTATTGCATAACGATTTCATTGATAGACCTAATGGCTAATTGATGGGAAGGGAGTCGCGGAGCACATGCGGGGAACCTCAGGGGTGGGTGGAATAATTTTGCTGACACCCATGCGATATTTCCTCAAACTTCTGTGGTGGTTGATGTAATTTTCCCTTTGTTTTATTATATGAAACTTTCTTGTAGCAATAAGTCTATCTAAAAGTTGTGAGTTTATTTGACATCCATTGTTTTTGTTGGGGGTGGCGGGGGAGGGGTGGTGAATCACTGTTACAATAAAGGGTTCCTAATTGAGATTATCGTTATATTATTATGCTGACATTATTGCATTACCATTTTTAGGTTCTAAAAAATAGTGGGAAGTATTCCTAAAAAAAGTTTTTGTCCAACTTATTGTGTGAATAACACATCTGTATTTATTTTTTTCAAAATCTCTCTCTCTCTCTCTCTCTCTCTCTCGTAGGTAAGACAATCACATACCCACTTTGTCCGAATTGGGACAAACCCCAACCTCCTCTTTGGGAGGTGGAGGAGATGGCACCTCAAGCTAATTAAATGCAAATGAATTTTCTACATTCTTTCCTTAATGATCAGCCTCTCATGTTTTCCTTTTGAAACTATTCTGCATGACATTAATCTACTTTAGGCAGTTATTATTATTATTTTTTATTTTTTTATTTGATTATAGAATTCGAAAGCTTAGTTACGTGTTCTGTTCAGCAATATAGTGCAGCAACTTGAATATTCAAACATTGGAGCTACTGAGTTAATTCTATCAAATGGCATGCGAGTTTGCTACAAGTGTACGGACTTTCTGGATGACCAGGTATGGTTTTGTGTGGGCACTTCAATATATATGAGTTTGCTATGAGTCTACAGACTTCCTGAAATGATTGACAGCTATTACCTGATATTGATATAGAACTGCCTGAAGCTCCAATTAGAAGCTTCAAGATGGAAAGGGGCCTAATTTGTAATGTTAATACATTGGTTTTACGTGCGGCTTATTGTTTTGAACTTGTGTATGCATGTGATTCATTGATTAGTGAACTTAATTTATAAGGTCCATGTGCAGCTAGTTTATGCCTTAAACATGGAATTGGACAATTTGGATTCATTATGCACCCTATTAATTAATGGTCGCTAACCTTGTTGTCTTCCAAAAATTTCAAAATTTCTCCTTTTAAATGGAAATTAAAATGAATGAACAACCATTGTCAGGCGTGACATGCTTTGTGACACTAGTAATTCCTTTTAACTCTTTGTTTAAATAGGTTCTCTTCACAGGGTTCTCATATGGGGGTTTGTCCGAACTCCCAGAAAGTGAGTACTTCTCATGCTCAATGGGTTCGACTATTGCTGGGGAAATTGGTGTATTTGGTTATAGACCATCGGTGCTTATGGACATGCTTGCTGGTAAGAGAGCTGAAGTCGGGATGAAGCTTGGAGCATATATGAGGACCTTTTCTGGTGATTGTTCACCTTCAGACCTTGAAACTGCCTTGCAGGTTTGTCTCTTTAGATATTTCTGTTGTATAAGTAGGGTATTTTGTAATCTCATTGTTTTAAGCACATATCTGGCAGCTTGTCTATCAACTATTTACAACAAATGTAGAGCCAGGAGAAGAAGATGTGAAAATAGTAATGCAAATGGCAGAAGAAGCCGTGCGTGCTCAAGAGAGAGATCCTTACACTGCATTTGCAAACCGTGTGAGGGAGCTCAATTATGGAAACTCCTATTTTTTTAGGGTATGCCTGATCTCCCGGTTTGAATTCTTATTTTTCTTAATCCACCAGTCCTGCTTATCACTTTGGTGGTAATTTCTTATGCAGCCAATTAGATTCAGTGACCTTCGAAAGGTAGATCCATTTAAAGCTTGTGAATATTTCAACAAGTGTTTCAAGGATCCTTCAACTTTTACTGTTGTGATAGTTGGGAATATTGATCCTGCAGTTGCATGTCCTTTAATATTGCAATATTTGGTAAGTTGTATCCCCTTCTCAAGCTAGCTTGGGTTAGAGTTGTCAGTTATACTCTGTTAAATTGGTTTGTGATTCAACTGCGCAGGGTGGAATTCCAAGACCTTCTGAACCAGTTTTACATTTCAACCGTGATGACCTCAAGGGTTTACCATTCACTTTTCCTGCAACTGTAATTAGGTATGTCTGCATTTGGGGGTTATTTAATTTCTGTTAGTGCTAAACCAGTGCTGTAAAATTGTACAATGATTGAAATAGAAGAGTGGGTTGAGTTTGTTGGGCCAGCTGATCAGCCTGGATACTGCGACCTAATTTGTACCTTTTCCCCTTTATTTTAGTATTGGCTTGAGGAAAGAACCAATCACTTTCCATCTTTCTCTCTCGGAAGCCACCCAATGTTTTTTCATTTATTTGCATGTATGCATGGAAAATATGGATATAACACATTTTTTGTGCTGGAAATTAAGTGCCCAGCTAATGCACTAGATGTGTTTGTAGAGAAGTTGTTCGCAGCCACATGGTGGAAGCACAATGTTCGGTCCAACTATGCTTTCCTGTTGAGCTCAAAAATGAAAATATGGTGAGTGAGGTTCTTTTGTTGTGTCAGTTAAACTCTCTATACTTATAAGATCCGGGAGAAACTTTTGATTTCTTTTAGTGATGATTTTTTTATATTCTCCGTATATGTTAGATTGAAGACATTCACTTCGTTGGGTTTTTGAGCAAACTTCTGGAAACAAAAATACTGCAGGTTCTCCGTTTCAAGCATGGGCAGGTAGGTGTATATGTGTGTCATGTGTTATCTTTTAGAATTTGGCAATTTGCCTTTTTGTATGCCCTAATTTCTCTTGGTATACATTTATGTTCCAGATATACTCTGTTGGTGTTTCTGTCTTCCTTGGTGGTAATAAACCTTCAAGAAGTGGTAATGTCCGTGGTGATATTAGCGTAAATTTCTCTTGCGATCCAGATATCTCATCAACACTGGTAGGTTTGTTGTATTTTTGCAATTTGTCACTATTGTTTTAGCAATTAAATAAGCAATCAGCTTACTTGGTTCTGCAATGTTTTTATAGGTCGATCTTGCGCTCGATGAAATATTACATCTTCAGGAGGAAGGACCTTTAAATGAGGATGTTTCAACCATCCTTGAAGTTGAACAAAGGGCACATGAAAATGGACTGCAGGTTAGTTTAACAATAAACTGTTGTAGTTAATGGGCCATTATCTTCTGGTTGTTTGTCCAGAACAGAGGAAAAGAAAGGGAAAGTCTAAAATCCTCATTGTTTCAACCTTGAAAAGCTATAGTATTATGAACTTTCTTCTTCTCATATCCCACAGGCGGCCAAACAGAGCATTAATATCTATGGGTGTGAAAATAATTACAAGTATACAACTTTCTGTCTTTTCAATCCTGATGCTGACTGGTTCGTGTTTATTCAGGAGAATTACTATTGGCTGGATAGGATGCTACGCAGCTATCAGTCAAGGATCTATTCTGGTGATGTTGGCACTTCTTTTGAGGTTAGAGACCATGGTTATAGCTTTGTGTTGCAGCCTTCAACCAATTTTTTACTCCCTTTTTTCCCAAAAAAACAAAAAAAAGAAAATTTCTATTATAATAATAATAATATTATTATTATTGTTGTTGTTATTATTATTTTGGTTTTTTCTTACTCATGTTTATTGAAATTTCAGTTTTCATGTAAATTTGTCTATTGCTGGTAAACTGGTGCATTACGTTTTGTTCCAAAGTTGAAATGCACAAACATATGCATGGGTAATGAAGGAATTGAAAAATAAACCTTGCAGCGGTGTAGCACATTTTGAGACTTTTCTTGGTTTATAATAGCATCAAATAAGCAGTGTTTATCATATTTGGGAAATTTCTTATTGCATTTGTGACACTAAATTGAATGTTCAACCAGCTTGTTAAGTTGTGTGTTAATGGCCTTGGTTTATTCTACTTTATGATTCCATAATTAGGTTTCAGGAATTGGTTGCATATCTTCCAATTTTATCTATTGATTTATGTCTGGTGCAGGTTCAAGATGAATGCCGTTCCAAAGTTAGAAAAACTTTGACACCATTAGCAGCTCAGTTGGCATTACAAAGGATACTACCTTTCCCCTGCAAAAAACAGTACACCATTGTGATTTTAATGCCCCAAGCATCTCGTTTTGGATTACTAGAATCATTCATCCGCTCTATGCCAAACCATTATTGTAGAGATGCAAAGGTCAGTCACATTCTTGTTTTGGAATTGTCATGTATCTAGCCCACTCTTCATCAATTTCATTTTCATAAGATTAACAATTTTTCATTTTTTTAATGCACCTACATAAATAAGCTATGTCTAGTTCTTTCATTCTTTCTTTTCATGCGTACAACCTAATTTTGTTGCATTGTATATAATAATTCCAAATATTTTGAATATTTCTATCCGGGACATTTCAATTATTTAAAGAATTTTTTTTACTTTTTTACAAAATTCCTAACAACTAAGAATGATTGTGCCCTTTTTACTTTACATGCAACACTTTTTCGCCCATTCAAACCCTCTCCCCCAAATCTTTAATACCTTCATTTCTCTGATTTGGCAGACGTTAGTCGGCATTGCTGGCCTCGCAGTGATGGTTCTCAGTTTATGGAGATATTCAAGAAGTGCCCTGAAATCTTAAGTTAGATTCACTTGGCACAATATCACATAGTCGGAGGAATGGAGGAAATCAACAGGAAAAAAGGACAGATGTACCGAATGATGGAAGCTACAAATCAATTCCATGAATACCTACATGTTGAACGATATCTCAGTCCGTTAACAGCAATTTGAACTCGTATGGACACAGAAGAAAGCTTGAAATCTTTACGTCTAATCATTTTTGGTCTGGGGGAACCTTGTATAACTGTATCATTTTTAGCCATTGGTAATAAGGTAGATGAAAGGTATTATATAATAAGAAATGTAGGGACTAAAAGTCTCAGTAATGGTCAAAATATTACAGGAGGAGGAATAATAATTAGATATGGTCTGGTATTTGAGGCGTCCTGATGATGTATTAGGACATCTTGCTGAAATAAAATCAATTGTATTTACCCTCCAAAATGATTCTCTTTTGTCTAGCATCTAATACCTGTAATATATTTCGTTTGTGTTTTAATGCTTTCTTCTGGCTTTAATTTGGTGCTACATTTTAATGTCCTAGCCCGACGCATACAAGCCCATACAAACTATTATCAGTTTGGAATTGGTAATTAAAATATAAAAAATACATAGAATCAATAAAATTGTTCATAAACAATTAGTATACGGTATACTATTCTTGCACAATGTTTAAGCCAATGAAAGTACACCAGGACCTATAATTTGAAAGCATCGATATAATTGTACAAGCTCTCTAACTAGAGTACAAAAAGTACGAGACCAGCTTTTGTTTTTTTTTTTTTTTCCGGTCCTAACATGGCAAGTCCGTCTCAAATTTATTTTTCAAGAATAGTGAAATTTATATTATGTTTGGTTGGAGGGAAGGATTGAGAGCAATAGATAAGATTTATTTTTCAAGCGTAGTGATGGGACCCATCACACAACGTCATGGTGACATCATTCTATTGGATCCATTCGTCCACCCACATAAATTGAATTCAATAATTACTCAATTCCATTCTTAAATCATTATTGTTTTTTAATTTGTGATCATACAGAGTAAAAACTGTACTTCAGATTCCAAATCTCTAGCAAAGCCGTAAACTAAACCGAAGCATAATTACAAAAGTAGTCCACCCCAGTCAGACTGTGCTGGCCACTAAAAAGCCCAATCTATACTTATAAAAGTCCGCTAGCCAGTAGAAGCCCAATCTATACTTCTAAAAGTCCCCTAGCCACTAAAAGCCCAAACCATGGTTTCAGTCCATACCGGAGCCCAATCTCTATTTACAAAATTCCATACCTAGGGTTTCTAGTTGATCTATATTAACAGTACTACTACATTTTTGGGCGCCTCCCATCAACACCTCCCGAGCCAAGGTAATCTCTCTCTCTCTCTCTCTATCTCTCTTTGCAGATGAATCACAGGTTTATAGCATGTATATGATCAATCCGAGACTGAACTAAAAGATCATATATAATTTTTATTTCAATATATATATATATATATATATATATTGCTACTTGTTTGTGATTTAATTTTATTTAGCGTTTATCATTTGTTTCGTCGTCTTCTCTGCTATACTGATTCTATAGTAGATCTGAATTTGAATCCTCCAGTAAATTAGGGAAGAGCAAGTTCTGAAAATTGAAACATGATAATGTGTAGTTATTGAGCCGAAGAGTTTGTACTTGTTTTTGTGTTTGAATGAAGGTAGTATTGACGAGTTCCTGAATCGGGAGTGAAAATGGATAAGACGAAGGGAAGAAAGGAGGAGGTTGTGACTAGGGAGTACACCGTCAACCTTCACAAGCGCTTGCATGGCTGGTAAATCCATATCTGCTTTTTTTTTTTTAACACACTCAAACGCATAAACATACCTTTTCTGCGATCTTAGATTTGATAGTTGGTTCTCTCAAGTTTTCTTAATACGGTAGTAGCTTAGCTTGTTATTTGCACATTAATTCTTTTTAGTTCATTATGGTGTTCTGAAATTTTATCTAGTGAAATGGGTTTATCTCTTTTCTTTTCTTTTCTTTTCTTTATATCAAAAAAAAAAAAAAAAAATCATCTAGAATATAAATAAAATCTGGATTTATTGTTGTTTTTTTTAAGAAATATTGAATCTATTTAAGATTAAAAAATATTACCTTTCTGAAAAGAAAATAACTACCTGAATGTTAACAGTGTTTCATAGGCATATTTTAGTTAGAAAATTAGTGTCAAAAACTGTTTTCTACCTGTGTAAAGTATCTTTATGTAATATATCTAAAAACTGAGCCAGGAAAATTATGAAACTCATACATATAGCGCATGCTGATCAAATTAATCATTGATTGGTAGGGCTGTTGCTGGCCTGACTGTTCTATATTTTCTCTAATTTTGGAGGGAGACTGGGACCTTATGATCTCATGCCAATTGTTTTTGTCTGACATTATATTTTCTTTCTTCTATTTATTTATTAATTATTTTTCTTTTCTTCTATTTATTTATTAATTATTTTTCTTATGGGTGGAGTAAATGAGGCTTCATTTTATGAATTGGGGAAACAACAATTGAGTTGTCTTGGTATCACTTGGTTTGTAGACAAACATATTATGGTACAACAAACTAGCAAGGCATTGTTGTGTTGTCTTGTATCGCTAGAGGAGTAACATGTCTCGTCTAAGACAGTGCCATTCAACATTTTATCTAGCATAAATTTAGTATATTGGTCAAGACTGGTTTTCAATGCCGGTCAGTGGCATTTTGTCAACTGAACAAATATGTTTGTCCTCTGTTCTTCAGCTTACAGTTCTGGTTCAGCCATGAAGAAAGAGTTGCTATGATAGTTCAAGTGTTGTTCCTTTATTTTGAAAGTGACTCCATTTCCTTCCTTACACTGTTTTTAGAGCATGGTGATTGTCACTTGGCTCTCCAATCAATGCTTGCCTCAGCATTTTTTTTTTCCTATATAATTGTTATGGTGGTTATATTTAGACCTTAATTTTATCATATCTACTGCCTATTGGCTGTGGTGCTGCATGCATTATCTCACCATTTTTTTTATCTTTTTAAAACAAATACTAAAAGATAGAAAAAGATAACCCCATAGACGCATGCGGAGAATATTCAATATCATTACATGGCTCAATTTTAACTTCTGTGATATCATTAGAAAGGAGGTGTTTGTTTTTGCTGTACTAATGTATCTGGATTGTTAATAATAGCACCTTCAAGAAGAAGGCTCCAAATGCCATAAAGGAGATCAGGAAGTTCGCACAGAAAGCCATGGGAACCAAGGACGTGAGAGTGGATGTGAAGCTAAACAAGTACATCTGGAGCAGGGGGATCCGAAGTGTTCCTAGGCGAGTCAGAGTTCGTATTGCTCGCAAGAGGAATGATGATGAAGATGCAAAGGAAGAGCTTTACTCTCTTGTTACTGTTGCTGAGATTCCACCAGAAGGGCTGAAGGGGCTAGGCACCAAGATCATTGAAGAAGATGATTGATTTGTTGATTCCTGCCTGCCATATGCAGAATTATACATGGGAATTTTGTAGCAAGTGTCTAGTTGTTTTAAGATTGATTAGATTCTCAGATGTTCATTGCTAATTTGGTACTACTATGTTTTGGTTACTTTGTTTCGGTTTATGTCTTGATTTGGATGAGTTTCTTCCGAAAGATGTTTTGTTCACAATTTGGCTTTCTCTGTCTTGCATCCAAGAATTTCATAGAAAATGTTGGGTGGTGGCATTTATGTTGTGGTTGCTTAACCACCATTGACACATGCAAGGTGTGGTTTCTAAAACAGAAGTTCCTTTCGACTTCTTAATCTTTATAGAACAGTTGGAACCCAAATGTGTTTTCCATTCCCAAATTTACTTTTGGGAAAGTGAGGTTGAGAGCGATCCACAAGCCTAGACAATTCCTGGCAAGGTGCAACACCATCTCACATTCTTGGTATGGTGCGATCCACAAGCATTCTAGCCTATTTAGCGAATGTGCAAAACACATCACATCTCATATTCTTGGTGGAAACTCGACCCAACAACCTTGTATAACTTCAACAAAAAATGGTGGACTGTACTGTACTCTTTTGTGGTTAAACCTCTATATATCTGACTGGAAGAATAGTAATTATGGCTGTAATTCCAGTGTTCCATCCTAGAACCACCACTTACTGATCCTGGCTTGATGTTTCAATGTTATTTAGTGGAAATTCAGTTGATGTTACTCTACCTGCTGAAAATGCCCGTGCTGCAAAATGCTGAAAATGTTACTCACCTGGAATTCATCTTTATAGATGATGCGACTTGAACGCTGGCTATTTGACAATGATAATTAAACAATCGCACGTCCATGTAAATTAATGAGAATTAAGCATTGGGTACCATTTTGATTGAACAAGACAATATTACAGTATATAATTATGACCATTAACTAGGCAAGGAGTGATTATAATTCAGAACAGTTGGTGAAATACTCGAGTAGGATCACAAATCGAAAAAAACACAAGACGACCAATTCCTCAATACTACAAGCTGTGTGCCCAGATGCAGATGGCCAGCTTCCACGTGTTAGCCAAATGCATTAGATGTCCTTTCAACGCAAAAGTTTGCGTGGAAATATTTTCTGATTGTCTGCAACTAAGCTAGAAACTCTCTATCTGCTGCCATATCTATTGCTTGTCAAAGTAGATTGGAGAAATCTATTAGCTAGCCTTGTAAGCATACATGTAGCCTCGTAGTTTTCTTACTTCTTGAGATGATTCATCGAGTAAATGGTCCACATAAAGACACATACCAGCTCCACTGAAATATCAAAAACATAAAATATGATTTTTTCTTTTTCCAGTAGGTCATAACTATGATTAATTTTTTCAGTAATCTAACTAGTTATATACATAGAAATAGAGACGAAGGACAAGGAACATACATCAGAGGCCCAAAGGGGAGCCAAATAACATCCCACCTGAATTTTGGCAATCTGCCATGAATAAAATTTAGATAGCAGAAGATGGTTAGATGGATTAAGATATCTCATACTATATACAAATTTGTCAGACTAACTTTACTTTTTCAAGTCATAATCATACTGAGTTACAAAACATCAGGCACAAAGACCAATTCATGGGAGAGAGATCATTTACCTCAGCATGTAATATAACCAGAAGACTGCCAGTAAAGCACCAGCAAAGCAAGAGTACCAAAGCCACTGCTTATGATTCTTCAAATTATGAAGTACCCCCATTATGGTAATTGAACACACTAAAACGGCTACCCAATCTGTTAAATGATTGAATTAGTGAAATACACCCAATCTGATAACAGCAAGAAGTAACCACCGTATATTTATAATCCTTTGCTTTCAAAATATCAGAGTGGCTTCCTGTTGGGCTTAGATTTCGTGTTGTACTTAAAAAAATAAATAAATAAAAATTATTTTTTGAAATAGGATAGACAAATTTTAATTAAGGACATCAAAATACATTGGGATGATCATAAATACACAATTTTATTGCCAATTTAACCTTTATTTATTGCACTAAGCAAGTGTTATATCCATTAATAAACCAACAATGTTTCTTTAATGACACATCATGTGTCCATCCAAACTCTTCAGCGATTTATATATATATTCAATTGAAGCAGGAGATTCTGATGGCTAAGCTTGACTGCCACTGTAATTTGATTAAAGATTACAACCAAAATCTTATCCTTGTTAAATTTAAGATACTGATACTATCTAAATAATTGTAGCCAATTATCTGAATTCCTGCGTAATATAATGGTTTAATCTTCCTAATTATGCCATCAAAATGAAAAATATCATCATTATTATTTTGTGACATTAGGTTTTCGTAAGTATGTTAAAATGTTTATCTATCGAGTTAAACAAATTCCAAAACTCTGAATTTTGTAGATTTTGTTGGACTACATAGATAGATAGTATTGTAGGCAATTATCTGAATTTCCATGCAATATCAAGCTTAATCTTCCTAATCATTGCATCAAAATGAAAAATCTGAATATATATATATATATATATATATATAGAGAGAGAGAGAGAGAGAGAGAGAGATAATGCAGAAATGAATATTCACATCGCACATGTTCCCTTTATTGTAAATGTAACTATTGTAATGGATGATTAAAATAGTAGCAGAAAGCAGCAGTAAATGGTTCACACATTTACTAATGCCCACACAGGTCTAACTATTGTAATGGATGATTAAGAGTACTAGGAAGTGTAGCTGAATAAACACAATGCCCACACAGGTCCAGTCCGGTAATAAAACAAGGAACAGAAAAACATTTTTAGATTAAGATCATAAAAGACGCCATATTAGAATTTATAGTTGATGCAAGTAAGAGATGAAGCATAATAACAAGTACACTAACACCTTTTAGCATGCTGACGCCACTAAATGTCTTGAAATCTTCTAATTTATTTTACAATATACCAAAAGAAAAAATAATAATAAAAGACAGTAGTTATTACACAGTATTCTAAGGCCACATCATTTTCAATGCATTACAAGTCATACATAATTACATGAAGATATAAGCAAATACGAATAATTAGATAATGAACCTGCAGATATAATGATCCATGAGTCAACCTCATCCATGAAGTAAGCATGATAACGCTGTTCATCAAAGGGAAAGAAAACATAGTTCAATAACATTGAAATTCACAAAGAAATCAAGTTACAGTTGCACAGGATTGATCTACATATAGTCGCAAGGGATTGGGGAGCATGGAACCTCAGTTTTGAATCTCCTTTTGTCTACATATAGTTTCACAATAATTTTAAATAGGAGCTTTTAAAATATATAATGGCCCCTTCAAAGTCCTAACATACATGGCAAGGGAGTAGATTCATTTTTCTTACCTCCCTCAAACCAATCCTACGTCGTCTGTTCCTTTAGGACAGAGTGCACATACCAACCCATTACAGCATCCTATATGATCTCCGTTCTAGAGAAAAGCACCTAACCTGTCTAATTAGCATGAAGGAAAATATATTGCAACAAAATAAATTAGTTTTGGTCTTCCTATGGATTATTTGGACGTTTTCTTTACTAAAAGATGTAACAGTGCATGAAAACAGTATAAATACTAAAAAGAGAATAATTAGATTTTTAAAAAATCCGTTAGTCCCTTACCTGACCGGCAAAAAGTTTGTCACTCTCATTATAAAGTCACATGTTATGATCTAAAGAAGCTCCATGTTTTATGAAGTTGAGGCAACTTTATATGCCCAGTAGCTTGAGAGTTTCATGGACTGACAAAAATGGATTAAGCCTACAAGTGAATCCTCCCCATGTTAAGTACAAATTAGCAGTTTCGGAGCATGGTTGAATCCTCCCTATGTTAAATACAAATTAGCAGTCACGGAGTGTGGTTGAATCGTCCTCATGATTAGTCCTACCAAGTTATAGAATGAAATAAATACTATCATGGTCCCTAACTGAAGTTTACAAACCAAAACTTCAGTACTCCTAATAACCTTCCAAATCAAAGAAGAAATGATAAGTTTCATGTTTCATCCCAATCTAAATACCAAAAAGCTCCCAATGAACTCCGTGAGAGTGCACTGGTATTCATTCTTTTTCACTCTCCGAATTAAATTAAGGGTTAGACATCAGTGCTGATTCGAAAATTGTATATGTATACATACAGATATGTACACGCACACGCACTATGTATATAGTTGAAGAATACCAGTTCCCACGGAGACGAAGCTTGTTGATAGATTGAATAAATTAGAAATGCAGCAAAACAGAAGAGAAGAGTAGCGAACACTCTCTGCAAGACAAAATGGAAAAATCAAAGTCAAACAAAAATTTATAAAGAAGAAAAAAATCTGTATTTTTTTTTTATTCATTGAAAATTTTATATGAATCTATGTAGTGTAAATGCAATACCCTCCATAATAGACTTTGTTGAGCTTGACTCCTCTCTAATGATCGGACCAGCTCCTCCTGTTCTGTTGATCCGAACAAGCAACCAAATTTTCAATAGAGCGGAGATAAAAACCCCAATTAGTTTGAATTTATACAAACATGTATGTGTATATATATATATATACACACACACACATCGATATTTAATATCGTTGTGTGTGTGTATATATATATATATAGAAAGAGAGAGATATAGACCTTGAGAATCAATGGGTTGGAAATCGTCACGAGTGGGGAGAGAGAACTTGTCGTCGTCTTCATAGTCATCGCCAGATCTCTTCAATTTTCTACCCAACTTCTTCATCATCCATTCGCTTCTCCCCGATTACAGTGTCTAAATGGTATACGTATGTAAGCATCAATGGAAAGGCGACGTCGTTTTTCTTTACGGAGTATTATAAATATAACATTGAAAAAAATTAGATATTTCTTTTTAAAATTAAGTATTAAACAAATATTCAATAATTATATGCATATATTTAAGGGTAAATTTTTCAAAACTCCCAATACTTTTAAAAAATAATTATAAAACCCTAACTAGTTTTAAAAACTCTCAACAATATAACAACGTTATCATTTTATCTTAATTCTATCAATTGGCTCCAACGCGTGGTTAACAAATGCATTGACAAATTAACTTTGATAACGAAAACACCGCTGCTGTCACATGTGCCAAACAAGTGATATGTATTCAAATATATTATACCAAAAATACCCCCAAACTTGTAATAGCAAAAACACACCTACAGTGTCATCGTTTTAGTTTACCTTCTCTCATTCATGCGTGAGTTTTTCAGGAAGCCCTAAAAGCCACCATTCTTTCATCCGTTATAGAAAGCAGTGGAAGTGATTATGATAATTACTTGGGTCATCGAAATGCAAATCGAGTTTGGTGTCGAATTCGATAGCCACAAACTTGTTCTTGGTCAATTGGGACGAATTGTCAGGAGAGAGAAAGAAGGTCAAGCCCATCACAGAAAAAGCCAACTTAGACCCAATTGTGACCACCAGTTAAACCCACTCCTTCCAATAATCGATGGCTTTCTGGAAAAAAAACTTGCAGATCTCATAGGTCTCATGTAGCTTCTGCAATTTGGAATTTGAATCGAGAACAAGGGAATAATTTGTTGGCGAGTCGATTTAGAGTGGATTGTCTCTACATTTGTGATTGACTTGGTTGTGTGCACACTGAAGAGAAGCGAATTTAATATTGTACCCACCGTTACACTGTAGAGGATAATATTGTAATTTCAGAAATATGATTTTTTGATTTTTTTAAATAAAAAGGGAATATAACAAAGGTAATTTAATCATTTCACGTACCCTTAACGGTCAATTGACAGAATTGGAATAAAATGATATAAATGGTTGAAAGTATTGGAAGTTTTGAGAAATTTACCCTATATTGAACTAGTAACTTAAATTTTGTGTTTTTTACTCTTTTTTTCACTCTACTTTGAAGTAATCATTCAACCATTAGTCTTCTCTTCATATTCTTTTATCATGGGAAACATGACGTTCCATTCACAAACTAGATTTGTCCGCATTGATCTGTTTGGCCTACTTAGCTTCTTCAAGCCGCCGGTGATCTGCTGCAGTTTGTTTCGTTTTGATATATATCCGGCCCCTGAAAATCCAACAATGATATATACAAACAACTGGTTCGTAACACAAACAGTTCCACAATATCCAACAAGAACACCAAATCAGCAAACAGCAGGGCTCTGAACCAATGACTTGGAATTAAACCGCAGAATAAATCTTGCTTACAAAAATCCCTAAAGGTAGTATCACAAAAGGCTTTCATAGAACAACAAATTCACTATTATAGTTCTAATATTCAATTTTGTGTAGAATGAGAAACAACAATATTTATTATAAGGTTAAGCAAAAGCTATAGATAGATGCAAAACCCTAGCATCCATGAACAATTGTTACAGATCTGCTCTTCCTGGGTATCTGGGGAAGGGAATAACGTCCCTAATATTGTCAATCCCCGTGGCAAAAAGAATCATCCGTTCAAAGCCTAAACCAAACCCACTGTGTTTTACTGTCCCATAGCGCCGCAGGTCAAGGTACCAGTCATATGGCTCAAGAGGCAGCCCCATCTCTAGTATCCTGCAATGAAAGAATGCAATTTAGTCAGAGTTCCTTTATAGCTTCACAAGTCATTAATTGTTCAAGTTCTCAACTCAAAGAAACCATTTCCATAAAGAGCAGTAACTGAAATCACGAGAACTCCAATAACAAACTAGCATCAGAACCGATGACAACAAGGATTTTATAAAAGATGCTATTATGCAGTGAATCAGAATCAAGCACAACAGCTTTTCATACCTTTCTTTAATCACCTCATAACGTTCTTCCCTCTGGCTTCCTCCAATTAGTTCTCCCACCTAAAAAACATAGAAAACAATTGTTAAGTAAACACAATATCTCTAAAAGGTTTTCCACTGTTGTCACAAGTGACGAGACATTTTAGAATAGCTATATACTCATTATATCCAAATGAAATGCATGTAGCAGTAAGCACCTAAGCATCTGACATGTGACAAGAGGGAATAATCCTACCTTTGGTACAAGCACATCCATAGCAGCAACTGTCTTGTTGTCAGCATTAACCTTCATATAGAATGCTTTGATCCCTTTTGGGTAATTGTACACAATAACAGGTGATTTAAATTTCACTTCAGTCAAGTATCTACATGATTAGGCAAACAATGGCATCAGTACCCACATAGAGAATCAAGGAACATATTCCAAATGCAAAGCCACGTACCTCTCATGTTCAGATGCCAAATCAATGCCCCATTCCACTTTATTCTCAAACTGCCTCTCTTTTGCTGCTTCCTCAAGAATGGCAACTGCTTCGGTGTAAGAAACACGGATGAAGTCACTTGAAGCTACCATCCTTAATCGATCAATGGCACCTTTATCGAAATTCTTAACCATAAATTCCATATCATCAAGGCAATTGTCAAGTAACCACTGGCACAAGAATTTCACATACCCCTCCGCACAATTCATGTCATCCTACAAAATATAAAAACTTATAATATTATGGAATAATATGATTCAACAAAATTATAAAATGCATAAGCACAACAGAACAAAGATTTTAGGAGCTCCACATAAAAGTTGTGCCTGCAATTTTTAAGTGGAGCATTGCTTAAGTTCCAATCTCCAATTGATTGCTCTGTCCCCTTAGAATTATTAGTAGCATGGATTAGAAATGGAAAAAATAAGTATGATATGTTAACTCTTCTAAATTTAGACTAGTTAAAATATAACTAGGAAAAAAATTAAATGAAATCATTTATTGCTTCTTTTCCCGAATATTATTTGTGCAGCATGTAATTCTATGATGATGATTTCATGCTTTCATATAATTAAAGAGACAATAGATTAAATAATAGCATCCTTAATTTCCCTTCATTCAACTCTAATATGACATCCTGCCATTACTGTTCCTATAATTTATGGATGGCATGAGAGAATTTTCAGTATGCCAGGAAAATTTTCCCAAATATTCTCCAGAAAAATGCTGCAGAAAGCAGACATTTACACATTTAAAACTGATTTATGTATGCATGCATATACATGAATAAAGATATTATACGTGTATGCAAAGAGAGATACAAGTAAAACGAGTTCTAATCAATTCAGTTCCAAGTAAACCTCTAGCTAATTTTAGAAAAATTTCTTCTCCATTATTCTTCTCGAACACTTAAACAGTGAATGAATATGATAAATCCATAACTCTTATACCTCAATGTCTGCAAATGCTATTTCAGGCTCCACCATCCAGAACTCTGCCAAATGCCTTGAGGTGTGAGAGTGTTCAGCTCGAAAAGTTGGCCCAAATGTATAGACATTACTCACAGCACAAGCAAATGTTTCAACCTGTAGTTGCCCAGAAACAGTCAAAAATGCTTGACGTGCAAAGAAGTCCTGGGAATAATCAATTTTCCCATCCTTTTGAGGTATCCCAGGCTTAAGCTTAGATCTCTCTTCCAGCTTTGAGAAATTCTCTTTCGCCTTTGTGAGCTCAGCCACAGAGGCACTAATTTCCCCCTTACTTGCTTTAGCAGATTTTAGTTGCGCGACAGCCTCTCCTTTCTCTTTGACAATAATCTTGGCTGCTTCAACGTCAGCTTCTGATGGAGGAGGATTCTTAATCAGCTCCTTCTCCAATCTTTCCGCATCATTAATCAATGTTGTGGCTTGGAACATCTCACCAGCACCCTCACAATCACTAGTGGTGATAATTGGAGTGTGCACATAGAGAAACCCATGCTTTTGGAAGAATGTGTGGGTTGCATAAGCCAGTGCATTCCTGATCCGAGCAATAGCAGAAATCTAAATCCAAGCACAATAACAAATTATCACTAACAATACCACAATAGGCAACTGAAAAAACACAATATATCATCAATTCAGAAATTATTTAAGGAATAAATATTATAACTCTATATACATCAATATGGTGTGCCCATTTTTGCTTCATAGAAGTTCTGAAACTGATCTTATCCAATCTATTAAATATAGAACTTTGGTGTGCCCATTTTTGCTTCACAGATATCCATATCTGGTTTCATAACCAGTATGGATCAAATAATGAACTTTTTTTATTGGTAAATGATCAAAGAAGTGAGTGTTGCCTAAAGCAAATAACTACTAAATTACCTTTTATCCGCTAAACATCAAAGTTCAAACCATTTGTCTCAACACATAATAAATAATTAAATTTCTAGAAGAGAATGGAAGCATTGTATTCTCAGTTTTTTGTTTACCTTGTTCCTGCATTGATAGTGAATAGTCCATTATAAACATCAGAAAGGACCATGCAGGTAAACCAACTTATCTTAGAGTAGCTAAGAAGCATAATTGAAACTCCAAGAGGATGCTTTAGAATTTTAAAGAAATTCCAATTCTAAGTAACTTCCTTACTTTTCTCACATTTTATTGACAGTATTCACTAAAGCATCTGTGTACAAGTAAAAGAGACAGATCAGTTAATTATGATCAAATTGGTCCTCCAATTAGCTTACAAGAAAGGTCTTTCTAATTAATAATTATCAAATCGGCTCTAGTCAGAAATCTAATTAGATTTTAAATAGAAGGCTTCACCATATTAAGGTTATCTAGCCAAAAATTTATCAGTACACACACAGTTAGACAATTTTGGCTAGTTATAGGTAAATGATATAATCAACCCTTATCAATGAGCATATATTACTAAATTGGGCATCAATCTTATAAAATGAAATACAAAATTCAAACGTAACTGCAAATACAATGTCAAAAAATACCATTTCGTAAAACTGAAAAACTCATTATAACAATAAAGACATGCATAATATGCATTTCATTTCTGAGTTTGCATAAAATAACATTTCCGATAATATACTATAATATGTACATATACATGTAGAGAGAGAAGGGGGTATACCGTATTGGTTCTGGGGCGAAGATGGACGTAATCTCTGAGAAACTCGAGGGTTAGCTTGGTCTTGGGCAAGGGATACTTGGCCGGATCGACAGTCCCCAAATCCAAAACCTTTTGAACCCTAAGCTCGATCCTCTGCCTCGTCCCTTCGGGAGGGACCTTGAGTTCGCCTTCCACGTGGACGCACGTGCCGGTGGGCACCAGTTGGCCGAGAGGCGCGACGGAGGCGTCGACGATGACCTGAAGATTGGCCGGACACGAGCCGTCGTTGAGCTCCAAGAACGCGAACGAACCCTTGCCTTGCTCTCGGCCGGTCTTGACCCAGCCCCCGACCCTCACCTTCTGGCCGGACAGCCCAGCACCACCGTCGGGACGGCCCAGTATGCTCCGGATCGGAACACGCTTCGAGAATCGGGCCTCCTCCACGGCATCGTTTAGGGTAACGGCGGACATTTGGTCCACCGGCGGCGCAGATTCGGCAGACATATGTGGTTTTGTGTTGGTGGTGCTCTTGACACACTACTAATGGTCTAGAGATTTTTGGACATATGCTGGGAAAAACCCTAATACTTGATTGTTGGCTTTTACACGTGTTGATTGTACGGATGTTTATTGGGCGAATAGGATCGTAGATTTTACGCTAAGGATTGTTGGCAAGAGCGGTAAATCTGACGTGGACAATAGCATTCATATGATTGGGCCAGGCTAGGAGGATGTAGCATGTGGGACTGTCACCTGGACAAGCGGACCTACTGATGTTATTTATGCATATGTATATTTATTCAGTAATTAGGCCCCTGCAATACAGGTAGGATTGCAAATGAACCGACTAGCCAGTGTGGGATTGTCACTTGGACAAGCGGACCTACTTATGTTATTTTTGCATGTGTATATTTTTTCAGTAATTAGGCCCCTGCAATATAGGTAGGGTTGCAAATGAATTGAGTTGTTCATGAACAACTCTGCTTCAACTCGTTAAAAATTCAGTTCGGATTCGTTCGTTTAGTAAACGAGTCGAGCTTGAACACATTTTTTTGGCTCGTTTAGTAAACAAGCCGAGCTTGAACAATGCCAAGCTCGGCTCGTGAGGTTCGTTTAGTAAAATGTTTATTTATTTTTTTAAAAAAAATCTTCTATATAATTTTTTTAGCCCATATAATATAAATTCAATCTAAAACTGTCTGTTCATAAGCCCAACTTGAATCTTCATTAAGCCCAAATTCTTTCAACTTAAGCCCAACTCCACTTAACCCTATCATCACATATATATATTATGTATGTATCAGATCGCTTACATTTGAGATAACATATGTCGCAACAGATCTCGCAACTTTCGGTTTCAACAAAGCATCTTCTTCCTCTTTTACTGGTCGGCTTGACGGCTCTCTATTCCCTTTCAATTAAACACGTATTCCTCTCGCTTATCAGTGACGGTATCCACAGATCTCTATCTATCAAATCTCTTTATTGGGTTTTTTTTTTCTTATGAGGTCTTAATCTGATCATTTTAATGTTGATGGGATCAGAGGAAGATGCGTAGAATAGCGGTCAGTGAAAGAAATGCAGTGTGCAGCGATGTATTCATGGATTTCATATTAGATTCGTTGAAAATAGCATACAGATCTAAAGATTTTCTTTATTTTTATTATTATTTTTTTAAGGCGAGCGCGAACCGAGCCCGAGCTTGCCGAAATTTGGGCAAGCCGAACTCGAGCTAGGGTTGACCAGGCTCGGCCAATCCCGAGCTGAGCTCGAGCACACTCCTGGCATTGACAAGTCGAGCCCAAATATAGTAAAATTCGGCTCGGCTCATTTGTAGCCCTAAATACAGGCTGATTGGGCACTTTAAGGTTATAGTTAACCCAACCCTATATATGAAATATTTGAGAGAATATTGGATACCCTGTCAGCATGCCCCCAACCCTATATATGAAATGTTCGAGAGAATATTGGGTACCCCGTCAGCATGCCAACATGTTATCCCCATCCAATAAAAGCATGACATTTTTCCAGCTTTCCAGGTCAGCTCCTAACATAAAGTTAACTATAAAAATTTAACTTCGTCTACTTTCTTTTTCAGCAAACCCTAACACCATCAAATTTTATTTTTTTATCCCGCCAAACTCAGATTCTTCTTTTTTAGAATCCCGCCTAAATTGTTGTACATCTTTTTCTCATTTTTCTATTTTTGAAATAATGTTATCTCCAAACTTCTGACCTACTTCCTTTAAGACCAAATTATATTTTTGTCTGTCTCTTTCTACCAGAAATCGTCAATCACGGAGCTGTACTAGATCTTCCAAAGAATATTAAAGCTTCCATAAATCTTCTAGAGTGTAGAAGTAAGTCAATTCCCTTTTTTATGTGCCATTTTCTTATTGAATAAAATACCATAGCTTAATGATGCTTTATATTTTTCATATCATTTGACAATAACAAAAAGATTACACCACCTACAATCTTCTACAAATAGATACTAAAATAGCTGATTGTTGTGTAAATTGTAATCAATTTGCACATCTTTTTCTCATTTTCCTTTTTTGGAAACAATGTTATCTCCAAACCTCTAACCCACTTCCTTTAAGACCAAATTGTATCTTCATCTGTCTCTTTCTATCAGAAGTCGTCAATCACGGAACTATACCAGATCTTCCAAAGAATATTAAAGCTTCTATAGATTTTCTGGAGTGTAGAGGTAAGTCAATTCCCTTTTTTATGTGCCATTTTCTTATTGAATAGAATATCATAGCTTAATGATGTTTTATATTTTTCATATCATTTGACAATAACAAAAAGATTACACCATCTGCAATCTTTTACAAATAAATACTAAAATGGCTGATTGTTGTGTAAATTGTATTCAATTTACTAAAATCAGTAAAGCATTGACAAACCTAGACATATAATTTTAACAACAATTTCGAAGACATGACTCAACAATTTGGAAGCCCCTGTCATTGATAATAGGAGGCTTTAGATTCAATGAGCACTAAAAAGAAGGTTGGATTTTGGAAGCTTCAACCATTGGCTCCACTAAACAAACAATCTCTGGATTGTTATCCTTACATAAATGATTAAAAGAATAGAGTATATGAGTTCACGCCTTGGTTACACAGGGCTCTGATCGAATAGAAGCCAACTTTTTTTTCTTTTTCAGTTTTTTCTTTTGAGCCTTCGAGAACACTGGAGTAGAAAACTCATTGTTGTTCTAATCTGAAACATCTTTTTAAGCACCAGTAAGAACCTAGACATATAATTTTAGCAAATTCACAATCAGTGTATAGTAAAGAAAAAAAAAAGTACAAGTATTATGTTTATAACATTATTTTTCGTTGGTTTATAATGTATGTGGTTTACAGGTGTGTTATCATACCTAATTTATTAAATGGAATCTTTGGTTGATGATATTGATGACCTTAAAATTGGAATGAGGTTTTCAGTGAAGATGAAACATATAGGTTATATTGTAAGTATGCCCTGCTAAAAGGGTTTTGGTGTTCGAAAAGGAAACTTTCGGTATACTAGTGGTGGAGTTATTAAACAAAGGGAGTTCTTATGTGCAAATGCAGGATAATATCATGATGGTGATCCTTTTAATCCGAAAAAAATAAGAAGACTAATGACCCGAACAGGTTGTAAAGCTTTAATTAAATTTGTAATTGCAGAAGGAATTTAGAAAATTAGTTATATCAATGATGAACACAACCATGACTTTGTTGATCAAGAAGAAAGACAGTTTTTAAGAATAAGCAGAAACATAGATTCAGCTAGTGCAAGTGTTCTAAATTATATGGTTAATGCTAGTATAAAAGGGACAAAAGCTTACTCATATCTTTCAAAGGAAGTTGGTGGATCTAAAAATGTCAAGTTCACTTTAAGAGATTGTCAAAATTTTGTTAATGAGAAAACGAAAAGTTTGATTCAAAGAGGAGATGCACAAAGCGTAATAAAACACTTTAAGCAATGTCGAGATGAAGACCATATATTCTTTCACAGCGAGGAATTAGATGCAGAAGGTTGTTTGGCAATTTTTTTTTGTTGAGAAATGGAAGATTGAGATTAAACTATGACTATTTTGTGGATGTTGTTATTTTTGATACCACGTATCGAACAAACAGATATGATGTAATTTTTGCTCCATTCGTAGAAGTTAATCATCACAGGAAGAATATTTTATTTGGTGGTACATTTCTTGTAGATGAGACCACAGATTCTTGTGTTTGGTTGTTCGATGAATTTTTAGAGGTAATGGATAACAAGGCACCCAAGACAATATTTACTGATCAATGTCAAGCAATGGCAAATGCCATTAAAAAACTTTTTCCAAACACTTATCATCGTCTTTGTTCGTGGCATATTTCAAAAAATGCCACTCAAAAGCTTGGGACCTTGTATAGAAATTACAAGTTGAAAACTTTGTTTCAAAAGTGTCTACATTCTGAAGCAATAGATGATTTTGAATTAACATGGAGTCTAATGATAACGAAGTTTGGCATTGCAGACAACAAATGGCTTGAGTCACTTTATGGACTTAGAGAGAAGTGGTGTCCGGCTTTTAGTCTTGATACTTTCACTCTCCGTGCTAAATCAACTCAAATAAGTGAGAGTATGAACAATGTTTTGCAAAAGATGTCCTCTAAAGCTATGACTTTAATGGAATTTGTGCAACATTGTGAAGAACAATGTGAACAGATGCGGTTAGCTGAAGATAATGAAGATTATCGTAGTAAGCATGGCGTAATACAAATGAGAGCGAAGGATTCCAAAATGCCGAAACAAGCAACTTGTGTTTATACAAATAGTATTTATTACCTATTTGAAGATGAGGAGCTTCCTAGTTTGGCAGTGAAATTGGAGTTGTTATCAAACCATTATACACTCTTCATTTATCGTGCTTTTATGGGAGGTGATAAGTGTTACATTATAAATTTTTATTCATCTAATTTTAATGTAGTTTGCTCTTGTAAGTTTGTTTGAGTCTACTGGGTGGTTGTGTCAGAATGCACTGAAGGTTCTCAATTTATGAAATATTCATGAAATACCATCTCAATTTATTCTAGAAAGATGGACAAAGTATGTGAAATCAAAACAGCCTCCATTTGAACTTGGTGAGTCGTCCAGAAATAAGAAATCATCTTTAACACTAGAAAGAATCATCTTACTTCAGCAATCTTATTGTGTTATCAATCACTTGGTTATGACCACTGAGGGAAAAAGTTTGGCCAAGAAACATGTGCAATTAATGTGGGACGATGCACAAAAAATTAAGGAAACCTTCAATCCAAAAAAAGAAAATGACAATACTTCTGGTGATCTCATGAAGACTGGTGGACATTTAGAGAAAATGATTGTGTTGGATCCTTCCTTCACATGTGAAAGCAAAAGGAGTAACGAATGCTCAAATAAAAAGCTATTCGGAGAAAATGAAACGTAGGCAAAAAAAAAATGTAATAAAACACTAAATTTATTCAATTTGAGTTTACTGTCGAGTCAATAGATGTACAATTATACATTTTAATTCTGACTTGCAGGACAACCAT